ATATTTTTATGCGCAAAACATATAATTCATTAAATTTTTGAAAATTTATTTTAAATAAATTTTCAAATAAAATTAAAATAAATAAAAATCGTAATAAAATAAATTTTTAAATAGCATAACCTCAAAATTATTTAAATTTTCTAAAAAATTACTTTTAAAAATTTCTTTTACCTTCAAAAATAAGGCACGTATTGTGTAAGTTGCAACTCTATCAAGATATTTAAAAGATTATTATCCATTTTGGTTTATTCCCCTTTTTTCACACAGAAACTAAAATTTTTTCACGCATGATATGCGATTTATGACGCGACGTAAATGATATGACGCAATCATCATTGCGCATGAGCGACTTTCTATGGGAAATCCTCTTAGAATTTAGAGGAATATTCTTAAACATAGAAGATTATTCTAAATTCTAAGAGTATTATTTTTATTCTAAAAAGATTATTCTGTATATAAGAGGAATGCTCTAGAATAGTCCTTTTGTTTCGATCCTCTTGAAATTAGAAGAAAATATTCTCATTTAAAGAGTAATACTCTTGTTTTAAGAATAAAATTCAAGAGGATTCTGTAAGAGGAATTTTCCTCTGAATACATGAATATTTTTTTTTCGGTGCGTACCTAATCATACAGTACAGTTCAGTACCGTACCAAAAAAAATAACTAACTTCTTTTGACTTTTAAAAGCTTCTAGCGGGTAATCTTGCCCGGAAAGGGGGATTGTGACCCACAGAGTTTTTGCTTAGAATCACTTCACTGAAAAAAAAATTCTGGTTAGGCTATATTTAACATTACTTTCTAGTTATGTTAACCAGAATTCTAGTTGAATTAACTAGAATTCTCGTTAAAATAACCAGAATTCTGGTTAACCTAACCAGAATCAAAATGTTAAATATACCCTAATCAGAATTCTGGTTATTCTAACTAGAATTCTGGTTATTCTAACTAGAATTTTTTTTCAGTGTTGAACATCACTGTCACGAAGTTTTAACCAATTTGACCGAAAGCGATTTTTAATGTATTTTGTGCGATAATGAGAATAATTTTATAAAAATATTATGAAGAAAATTTATTTCGAATTATTTAAGAATCAAACTAATTTTTAAAACAAATTTTCAAAATTTTATTTAAGTAGGACAAATTTCTAAAAAAAAAATTCTTAAAGTTCCATTTTTTTAATTTTTTTAAATCTGATTTACGCAATTTAAGGTAAATGCACCAGTAATCGTCAGTGCATTAGTTATCGGCAGCTAGTACATTATATTGTAAAAAATAAGATCAGTGTAACTTTCCTGTGTTATTAATTGTGTGTTTTGGTAAAATAAAACCTTTCGGCATCGAAAGTATACAAATTCGTCGTGTAAATAGTAAATTTTTAATTAAAAAAGTATATTTTTTCGTGACAAGGCCACGTACTGACTAGATCTTCGGCATTTCTTAAAGTTCTGCTTAGACGCATGACATATACAAAATAACTTGTGATTAGTAGTGTAAAGTGAATTGAAAGTTAAGCTTATGTTTTTAACATAAAGTAATGAAACTACTATTGATGGATTAAAAAAAATAAATTAATATTTAAATTATTATTATATTATTAAGGAAAACGATAACTAAACCTCTAAATTCATCGTGTGTCAGTAATCGTCAGAGATGACGATAACTAAAAATTTTTAAGTACATAAACAACTGACTTTTTTATTGAGTGATGTTAAAAACCTTTGTCTTCAATGTAAAAATAAATTTTGTATATTATAATATTAATAGATTTTAGTTATCGTCAAACGAAAATTGGATGAAATGAAAGTTATTTTATATTTTCTTTTATGATGATAACTAAAGCAGGAGGCTGTCGAAAACTAAAACATGTAGGTTTTTTGTAGTATTTCTTAGTTAATTAATTTAAAAAGAAGTATTATTAAATTTAATTAAAAAGTAAATTAAGAAAAATATTTTTGTTAATGTTAAATATGTTTTATTATATTAAAAATTTGTTTATAATTTCATATTTTTTATAATATTTTTCTTTTTTTCAAATTATTTATTTTTTTTAAATTTTATATTTATTTATTTATTATAGAAAAGTATAGTATATTAAGGTCATGTGACTGTTAGGTCTGTAATTTTAATTTGTTTGTAACTTATCTCGTAAAATGCTGAATGGACTAACAATAAGATGAAATTTTGTGGAGGAAATTAAAATATGATACAAGAATGGTTATGAAGTACGAAAATATTGATATATTGTTAAATAAATATAATAAAAGGCATAAAAATTGTTAGAAAATCGCAAACACTCCTAACCCTACATTTTCTAATTATATAGAATTATTTTATTCAAGTATTTTATAATAATTATTTAACAATATATCAACATTTTCGCACTTGACAACCTTTCCTTTTATCATATTTGGAATTCCTCCATAAAATTTCAACTCAATTCATTCAGTATTTTATGAGAAATGTTACTGAAAATTAACATTACATACCTAACAGTCACATAACCTTAAATTGAATGTAAATGTATATTAAATTTCATCTCTATGCATATTTGCTTCATATACAATATATTAAATTTAATACAGATTTTTCTAACAGTAAATTGCTATAATTATACTTTAATATATAAGAAAATCAATTTAAAAAGTTTGTTTTCATATTTTAATATTACTGCCGATTACTAATGCTTTTACTTGACGATCACTAAGGCAATTAGTTTTCATTCTTGCCGATAACTAACACATTTGCATGTTACGAACTTTATTTATAAATAATTATTAACAATAATACTATTTTTAAAAAACAAGAGTTAATTCTGCTTCTTTAGACTTTAATTTATTCTTAAATATTAATTATTAGTTTAGAAATACCGTTTAACATTGTTTAATACACACAATTAAAGTTGTCAATTCGGCTTAAAGATGACGATTACTAGTGCATTTTCCTTAATTTTGGAAGAGTGAAAGTTGAAATTTTTAGAAATAATTGAATTTCAAAAGATTTTGTTAATTTTCAGATAATAATTAAATTTTACAGAATTGAAAATAATTTATCAAATAATTTTAGATGAAATTTTTTAAAATGTAATTGAATTTTCAAAGATTTAGAATTTAGATTTTTGAAAGTAATAATTGAACTTCAAGTGATTTTTGGTGCTGGATCAGTTTTTATTTTATTTTTGTGTTAGTGGTGCAAAAATACGTAGATGTAAAGTTCTGTTTATTAAAGAAATTTGTTTTTTAATTTTTTTAATCACCTAAGTTTGAATTTGTCCGATTAAGGGTGGTTTTTTCGATTTAAAAAAAATCTAGAGGGTGCTGGATCAGTTCTGGATTTGTTTTTGAGTTAGTGGATACAAAATACGTAGGTTGTAAGGTTCTGTTTATTAAGAAAATCTGTTATTCAATTTTTTTATCTTCTAAGTTTGAATTTGACGATTAAGGGTGGTTTTTTTTTATTTAAAAAAAATCAGAGGGTGATGGAGCAATTTTGACTTCATATTCGTATTCAGTGGACCAAAATACTATAGAAATGGTATGTCTAGTTCAAGAAACAAACAACTTTATTTTTTTGTGTGCCTGTGTAATTGAATTTCAGGAGATTTTTTAATTAAAATTATTAAGAGGAAGATATAGTGTTTAGGAGTTCAGTCATAATCGTGCCTTTATAAGCTTGCCAGCTTCAAAATTATACAAAAATTTTATTTTTTATTAATTGGATTTTAAAGGGATCTTAATTTGTTTAGAATAACAGCGTTTTTTGATTTTGTGGCCTTTGGTCCAAAAAAATAAAATAATTTATTTCATATTAATTATTATTATTATTTTTTACCCTCAAATTGAGGTTATGTTTTTGTAAAAATACCACATGTCATACATTTTTTTCAAAATTTAAACTATAAATTCCAATAGTAATGTGGTAAGTTCTGTGTCTATTGTTTTTTCTGTTATTGAAAATGTTGTTATCGTCCTATTCATTATAATGAAACACATGTTTTTTCTGTAGTCCTGATGAGCCATGTTATATGGCGAAAATGCATTAGACATTGGAGAATAATAAACACATCTTTAATATGAAATAAATTATTTTATTTTTTTGGATCAAAGGCCACAAAATCAAAAAACGCTGTTATTTTTTATTAATTATGTTATTTAAGCATATTTTATATTTGCTTTTTATTATTTTTAGAATTTGTGTTTTTATTTTTACTTTTATTTTTAATATAATGGATTATTTCTGTGTTACGTTTTTTGTTTTATTTTATTATTAATTTATTTAATATTTATGTTTTATTATTTTATTTTTATAATTTTCGAAAAAAAGTCGTATAATCCGAGGCCTGAAATATGGGAAAAAAGAGTAATTGACCGATTCCGTGTATTTGACGAAGCTGAAGTACGCAACGTTTATGATAAACAATTTTTAAAGAAATAATTTTTTAAAATAAAAAATTTTATAATTTTTTTCCTAAAAGATATTTTTTTATAATTTGTTGATTAATGAAAACTAAAAGAAATATTTTTTTCGGCAAAAAATTATAGAATTTTTCTATTTAAAAAATTATTTCTTTAAAAATCGTTTATCATAAACGTTGTGTACATCAGCTTCGTTGTATTTGCCCTTAAAACGCATTCCCGCGCACACTATATTCCGTTTCGTTTGTTTTCTTTTCTTTAAATTAACCTCTTGTATAATATTCCTCAATTGAAACACACACACATTTTTTTTATTCACATAGAAAAAAAAAACTTGCCCTACAATATAAATAGAAACAATTTAAAATTATAAAAAAAAAAATTTTATTTGTAACACAAAAACGGGAAAAAAAAAAATAGAAAAAACTGTGGGTGAATGGAATCGGTCAGACTAAGTCGTACTGTGGCAGCAGACCAGAGCAGACTGAGGAGTACAGGCTGAAAGTACTAGAAATTTAGAGATGGCGCTAGGTGACGGTGAAGTGTAACTAGCGACTACTGGCGACAAAGCCGATGAACTAACATATACACACACACGGACGGCGACGACGACGGCGGCTTAACCACTGTACAGTCCGAGGCAAAAGAAAGTCAGCAGTAAAAATTCCTTGCTAACTCTCCTCTCCTGTCTCTCTATCCTGTTCAGCTTAGCCTCTCTCGGGACATTAGTCGTGGTGGTCGTCATTTCTCGTCGACGACCCCTTTCATCGGTTCCGGTTCGTGTTCTCGCGGTTCGTTCGCAGCGTCGAACCGCGAGCACCTTTACGGTAATGCACTCCAGTGTTGTAACTCGCAACAGTAGCAGCAGCAGCAGCAGCTCCAGCTGAATTGCTCCATGTCGCTGCCTACAATACACGACTTCCTGGAACGCCGGAAAACTCAGTATCACGGAGGCCAGGTTCGCCTGGCGCTGGCATAATGGCGTTATCATCGGCAGGGTGCAGTGCAGTCTTCGCCAGTGCTTCGCCGGGCGTCGGAGGTACACACAAAAATGAAAACACTAGAGAAAATTTTTAGGAGCATACACACACACACGGACATACAAACGTCGTGTCTACTTTCCTACTCTCTCTCTCTGTCTCTATCTTTTTCTTATCTTTTCATTATTAATTCAAAAAATGATTTTTCAAAATAAATTTTTTTTTAAAAAAAAACTGCTTCGCTTTTTTTTTTTCTAAATTTAACCTTTTTTTTTTTGGTTCTTTGCCCCTTGGAAACACCTGTAATTTGAGATCAGTGTCATCTGCTTTATTTCATTGAATTATGAAGCCATAACCTAGAATTTTTTTTGGGGGGGGTTTTTTATTCGCCATTTCATTTTTTTTTTTGCTTCAATATTAAAATGTAATTTTTTGTGTATAAAAATTTATTAGAGAAACATTGTTTTGTTTTTTTTTTTGCGATAATATTTATTGAAATTCAATGGTATTTTTTTCGAATTTTTGTTATAATACAATGTTTTCAATTGCAAATTTATTCCCTGCAACACGCTGCTGCTGCTTCTGCTTTTCAACATCGATTAATATATATGAAATAGATGTGACATAACCTTAAAAGAAAAAAAGTTAATATTGAGACGCCCGGTTGAATCGATTTTTTGTTTCCCTGGTTTGAAGTGCATGACACACTGAATATAGCTGATATTTGTTTTATTTTTTTTTCGCATTTTAATTTATATTTACAAAAAAAAAACGTATGTGATTTAATTGTTTTTGAGGTGAATTTTTAATTGTAAATATATTAAGGGTATTAAACTGCTATCTGGTTATTGATGCTATTATAATAAATATAATAATAATAAATATGCAATATTTAATTATTGTGTGTATTATTTAGTGTTTCTATATTTTTCGATTAATAAGCACAATTTCGATTATTATTCGATTTCAATGTTCTTTATATTTAAATTAGTGAGAATTTGTTCATTAATTTAAATTAGTGTTAATTTCTACTAAATTTTTAGTTATATTTCGCTAAAAATTTAGTAAACAAAAATTACTAAATAAAATATTTTAATTTACTAAAAATTAGTGGAATTTTTTACTAATTTTTAGTATTTATTAAGATTTAGTCGACTAATTTTACTAATTGTTACTAACTAATTTATTATTGAAAAATATTACTAATTTTTAGTATTTTTTTAAGATTTAGTCTAATAATTTTACTAATTATTATTAATTTATTTATTAATTTACTAATTAATAATATTACTAATTAGTAAATTTAGTAATATTACTAATTACTAATTTTTAGTCATTTTTCACTAAAAATTAAAATATATTACCAAAAAAAATAGTTTAATTTACTAAAAATTAGTAGAAATTTTTACTAATTTTTAGTATTTTTTTAAGATTTAGTCTAATAATTTTACTAATTATTATTAATTTATTTATTAATTTACTAATTAATAATATTACTAATTAGTAAATTTAGTAATATTACTAATTACTAATTTTTAGTCATTTTTCGTTAGAAATTTAGTAAAGAAAATATTACTAAATAAATTAGTTCAATTTACAAAAGATTAGTTGAAATTTTTACTAATTATTACTAATTTATTTACTGATTTACTAATTACTAAATTTAGTTATATTACTAATAACTAATTTTTAGTTACTTCTAACTAAAAATTAGTCAAAACTGTTACAAATTCATTTATTAATTCATTAGGAATTTCTACTAATTTTTAGTCATTTTTCACTAAAAAAAATATATATTTTTTTAAATATTACTTATTCAAATAGTTATATTTTACTAATTTGAAGACTTTTTTCTAAAAATTTAGTAAAAAAAAAATTTGACTTAATCAAATAGTAATATTTTAATAAAAATTATAGAAAATTTAGCTACTAATTTTCAATTATTTTTTATTAAAACTTTAATAGCAAAAAAAATATTACTAAATCAAATTGTAATATTTTACTAAAAATTAGTGAAAATTTTCTACTAATGTTTAGTCACTTTTTTATATTAAGAATTAGTCGAAACGTTTAGTAACTCATTTACTAATTTACTAATTCATTTTAGTGAATGTTACTACTAATTTTATTGTTTATTATTTAAAAAATAAAACGCAAAACAAAAATTTGAAAAGTTTCACAAACAACAAAAAAAATGGAAATTACATAAAAGAAATTAATAATGAAAATTTTAGAATCTTTCCTATAAAAAATGGCATAAAATTTATATGTATAAATCGATGTTTCTTTAATGAAAATACGCACTGTTCGCGATGTTTAAAATATAAAATACGCTTTACTGCAAGAAACAAAAATAAAAAAAAAAAAAGATAACGTTGTTCGCTAGGAAAAATAGAATGTACAGAAATTTAATTTTTTTCTAGAAATTTAATTTTTTTTGTAAATGTAAAATTTTTTAAAAAAATTATATTTTAAATTTACATATTTGATTTATAAACAATAATTGTTTTCTTTGCACAAAAGAATACAAAATTTTCCAATTTATTTTTTATTAAAATATACGGGCAAAATAAAATATTTTTCTAGTAGATTTCTTGAAAATTCTCCACCACACGAGAAATTATGAGAAAAGTAAAGAGTAAAACAATTGCTTGCTGAGATTTTTTTTTTTTTTTTTTTTTTTTTAATTTTCAATCCAAATAATGCCTTGAGAAATACTTTTCTAAAAATGATTTAATATTTTTGTTCCCGTGAAAAATAAATTTCGACGCTATTTTTAAAATCAACCAATCACAATTTTATCGATAATATTTGATTGATTGATTTTAAAAATCGCGCCAAAATCGATTGTTTGTTCGGTCATTTGCAATTTCGGACAAATGAAAATTCTAACTAATAATGATTTTTAGAAGTTAGAACATAATCATTCGCCCCCTAAGGCAATGAAAAATAGAAAATAATAGGTATTATTACTGTTTTAGATAAATAAATTCTGACGAGAAGATCAGTATTTCGAAACGTTAAAGATATTTTCTTTCAAGTCTAGTCCCAAAAATTTGCAATTCGAATTTTATTCAAGGTGTCTAACGGTCAGGGAAGTGAGGGAATTGAAATGGTCAGGGAATTTTTTTAATTTTCTAGAATTTTTTTGTGAATAAATTAAAGAACTCTTATAAAGCATTTTTTCTAATATTTTTTTTTAAATTTTAAATTAATATAATTTCAATTTGACGAAATTTATGTCTAGAAAAATTGACAAAAACAGAATTAAATAGAATTTTTCTTAAATGAAAATTCTGTTAAATAAGAGAATTAGTTCGTATTAAAATTTTCTTTAATAAAAACTTTGTTAATTAAGAATTTTGTTAAATAGAAATTCTGTTAATTTGGGGATTTATTCAATGACAATTCTATTAAGTAAATATTTTGATAAATCAAAATTTACTAAAATAACAATTCTGTTAAAAAAAATGTTTCTTCGTGCAACTTTTCTTGACATAAATTTCGTTAAATTGAAATTTTATTAATTTGAAATTCAATGTACTAGAAAATCTACTTTATACAGGGTGTTCCAAAAGTATGGAAACTTGCAAATATCTCGAAAAGTACGCAAAAATATCCAAAAAAAAGAGTTGTTCCCAAAAAAAGATCTACATTTTTGAACTCCAAAAAATTGGTCCCGTGACCCAACAGTGAAAAAAGAAGTATCACGAAAATGCCTACTTTTCGAGATATTTGCAAGTTTCCATACTTTTGGAACACCTTGTATAATTTTACTAAATAAAAATTTGATAATTTAAGATTTGACGCCGTAAAAATTGTTTTAAATAAAATGATGAGAATATTTATACGTCCCCAATTAGTTTATTTATTTCATTTAAATATTTTATTTTTTACGAAACATTATTTATTTGGTTGAAATACATATGAAATTAGTGGATAATAGACAGGTAAATGATTTAATTGTATCAAAATAAATTTTATTTGATCAAAATAAATAAAAATAAAACCCTGTTATATTAAGAGACATTTTCACCAATTGTGATTAAATGTTAATCAGTGATGAACTGATCATGATTGGTCGGTTACACGGAGAAAAATGGAAAAACGAATAAAGTAACTTTTACTACTTTAAAAATAAAATCGGAACTATTCGCAGTTTCTGCGCATTTCTAGAAATTTTTACTCCAAAAATAGTCAAATTGACTCTTGAAATAGTAAAAATTATTTCGGAAATAGTAAATTTTACTATTTCTGAATTAAAAATTGACAGAAATACATACGTAGAAACTGCGAACAGTTCCGTTTTTACTTTTAAAGTAGTAAAAGTTACTTTATTCCATTTTCCTCCGTGTAGGGATTTAATCACTGATCAACTCTTAATCGAATTAGGTGATAATCATAAAATGGAACAAAAAAAATTGTTAATTAAAGAAAAATTAAAATTTTGTTTTGCAGATTCATTTAAAGTTCCAGTTAAAGAAGAACGTCCAGATGAGGCCGAAATCCGGGAGTTGGCAGCCAAGATGGTGGAAGCACACAAGGCGAAAATGGCACCGAGTGTCGCGACCCTTGGCGTTCAACGACCAAGTGGTGGCGGTGGCCTACAACAAGGTAGCCTTCAGGGTATGTTGTTCTTCAACAATAATACCAATACATTAACCCTTGGCACAACACAAAAACGTGCCACCGATTCATCACAATCAACAAATAAAGAAGGAAAAGTACCACTCGATGATGAAAGTCAACGTGGACGTTTTGGTTGGGTTAGTTTCGATGAAACTCACATTCCCTATATATTTCGTGCTGGTGAAAAATTTTGCGCCGTACGAATACTTGAATCAAAGCTCCTCAACAAGTACCTGAGCTATCTTCATTCTGACATCTACAGTTGTACATGCATTCGTAGTTATTACATCACTGAGGCCGAGAGTAAATTATTAAATGAAATAAATTCAAAGCACTGTGAAAGTCAGTTTGGTCGCGAACAATTTACAAGTAAGGATTTAGTTGTGAGACTCGCTGACGCTAAGGAATTTTACGCTTTTCTTGATGTTTGCTATACAAAATTAACGGCAAGCAATCGAACAACACCATCTGACAAATGTGGTTTTATTCGCATTAATAAAGAGTCCGTTGTGCCCTATACAGTTAAGGACGGCCTCAAATATGTTCCTCTCTTTTATTTTGAAGGCGAGACTGACAATCTTAAATTGAAAGCAGAAAAACTCGAGGGCTGGGATTTGTCGTATTTGAAATTTTGCTGCAAGGTACAAGGTATTAGAAATGAATTATTCGCAAGTGAAACATGCTCTGTTATTAGTCTCAGTGATATTAAGAGTTATTTTCCACCTGGAACTGGCTTTGAGGATTATTGGCCAAGTAAAGTAATGGATTCACAATTAATTGTCAATAGTAAAGGTGGAGGCGGTGGTGGCGGTTGGACTAAACAGCCGGCAACACCGCCAGCTCCAAAACCAGTGCAAAATAATGTTGCAAAAAATACAATTGTCAGAGCGCAACCAATGCAAAATATGATACAAAGGCCAAATGCGACAATTCAACGTGTCACACAATTGAGAACGCCAATTTCACATTCAACACATTCATCATCATCGTCATCGTCGTCGCCAACCATTTCTTCCGTTAGGAGCAATACAATTGCACAACCAATTTCACAAAGGGATTTTGCTGCACTCAATGCTGTGCAAACGGCTGTTAATGGTTGGTCGGGACTTGTTAGCACTCAACCGACTTTTCAGGCAGCTTTGGTCTCTCAGGCTAATCAAATTATTAGGATGCCTAATTCTGCACTCAGCACACATAATGTAAGTAATCGTCAAATTTTTTTTTTCTTTCACTAATTTTCTTAAATGAGGCTACGGATCTTGAAAAGGACCTACGCTCCGATTTGCATCACAAATTTTTGGTCTTTGGAGTTAAAATTTTGAAATTTTTTCAATATTCAATAACAATTGATTCTTACCGTTGGAATTTGATATTGAAAATTTCAAAATTTTAACATCAACGGCCAAAACTTGTGATCAGAGTTGCCAGGGAAATCAGGAAAAGTGAGATTGGTCAGGGAATTTTAAAAAAGTACTGCAAAAATATCAAATTTCTAAAAATGCTACTAAAATTATAATTTTTGAAATTTTTAATTCAAATTTTTGCTTCTAAAAATTATTGTCTTACATTTTTATAATTGTAGGCCTCGGATCGACTTTTGAAACAAAAAAAAAATCATTTTAATCGATTTACATTACAAGAAAAATCTAAAAAGTCCATTTTTTTATTTTCAATGTTTCACAGAAATATTTTCAATAATTTTTTTTTTAAACCACCGAATTAAAGTGAGACAAATTTTCAAGATTTCAATTCAGTTTCAGAACAAATTTTCAAAAATAATTTAAAGTTACATTAAAAAAAAAAGAAGAAAATTTTCCATTTCTGATTTATGTACATTATTCGAATTCAGAATTTCGAAAAATGTTTTAAATAATTGAATTTTCAAAGAATTTTATTAAAATACTAGCAATATTAAACGAGCGCAAGCGCACCAAATTGAGTATTTAATTGTTTGTTATAAAGAAATTAAAGATTAATATTATCAATAATAATTTCATTTATTAGAATATTATTACATATTGAATGATAATAATGAAAATTATAATATGTTTACAGGCCTCGGATTATACGACTTTTTTCAACTTTTTTCAAAAATACGACTTTTATCGACTTAATGAAATACATCACAAATTCAATTATATCAAAATTATTTTTCAATTAAAATTTTTATGAAATTTAACAATTGTTTATAATTAAAAAAAATATATATCACAATAAAATTGAATTATTTTTTAAAAATTTAAATTCAAAATAAACTAAAATTCAATTATTACCCCAAATTTTAATTCAAAATCAATTAAAAATCCAATAATTATCCAAAATTTTCAATGTAAAATTTAATTATTTACCAAGTTTTCAATTTAAAATGAAATAAAATTCAATTATTTTCTAAAATTTCTATTCAAAATTAATTATCCAAATTTTCAATAAAAAATGAACTTAAATTAAATTATTATCAAAAATTTCAATTAAAATTCAATTATTTCCCAAAATTTTCAATTCAAAATGAACTGAAATTCAATTATTTTCCAAATTTAAAATCAAATAAAATTTCATTATTCTCAAAAATTTGAATTCAAAATTAATTGAATTTTCAATAATTTGAATTTAAAAGCATCTAAAATTTTTTTCAAATTACTATCTTGTACGAAATTTCCTGGCGCATCTTTTTTCTCATCATAAATTTTTTGTATTTGTATACAATTTTTGAATGAATATACAACTTTAAAAAAAATTTCGTTGGTAAACGGTACTTCAGCTTCGTGAATTGAATTTTTAAATTTGGAATTTTAAAGAAACTTATTCCGAAATTTGGAAACACAATTATACAACTTTGGCAAAAATGAGAAAAAGAATTGTCACAATTTGACACGTCATAAGATTACTATTCAAAAAAAACACGTGAAATCAAAAAAGGCCAACTTTAAGTTAGGACAGAAGGACAGACCAAGCATTTTATTATTATATAATTATTGACAAAGAAATTAATTTTAAATGAAAATTTGTGAAATAATTGAATTTCAAAAGATTTTTAATTAAAATTTTAAAAATAATTGAATTTGGAAGAGTTTCAATTAAAATTTTTTAAAAATAATTGAATTGTAGGATATTTTCAATTGAAACTTTTATAAATTAAAATAAATTTTTTTTGGAAGTAATTAAATTTCAGAAATTTTTAAATTAAAACTTTTACAAAAATTTAATTGATAAAATTTTTTTTTACAAACTTTAAAGAATAATAGAATTTTAGAGTATTTTTAATTAAAAAACTTTTTATTTCCCCAAATTGTTGAAAAACTGTATTAAAATAATTTTAAAAATTTATTTAGCGATGAATTTTAAATAAATCATATTAATAATGTTCCTACCTAGCTATAAATTAATTAGCTTAATATTAATAAATTGAAAATATACTTAGTTTTAAGAGTACCTATGTACGAAAGGGCTTGTCCCGTTAACTAAATAAATAAATAAATAAATAAAATTTTTAGAAATAATTAAATTATAGAGAATTTCAGAGAATTTCAATTTGAAAAATGTATTAAAAAATTGAATTTTCGATTTTTGTAATTTTCAATTAAAATGTTTTGAAAATTATATAAACAAAAATTTGAATTTAAAGAATTAATATGTAATTACAAAACGTTTTATGTAATTGAATTTTTGAAAAACTTGATTAAAGTTTTAGAAATAATTAATTCAAAAAGGAATTGAAGTTAAAAATTTGAGAAATAATTGATTTTTGTAAAATAAATAGTTAAAATTATTGGAACTAATTGAATTTCAGGAGATTTTTAATTAAAATTTTTGTAAATTGGAATTTTTATAGATATTTTATAAGCTTTAAAGTTTAAACAGTAATTAAACTTGGGAGAATTTTGAATTGGAAAATGTTTTAAATAATTGAATTTTCGAAAATTTTGATTAAAATTATTAAAATTAAATTATTCAACAATTTCAATTTTAGATAGAAAATTTAGAAATAATTGTATTTTAGAAGAGTTTGAGTTAAAATTTTGAGAAATAATAATTGAATTTCAAGATATTATTAATTTGAAAATTTAATTTTGAATTGGTGAAATTTTTTTTGAAAAACTTTAGACAATAATGTTAATTTTCAATTGAAAACTGTTTTAAATCATGTAATTTTCGAAGAATTTATTTTAAATTATTGAAAATAATTGATTTTGCAAACAATTAAAGTTAATATATTTTTCTAATAATTGAATTTTAAAAAATAAAAAAAAAGTCGAAAAAGTCGTGCAATCCGAGGCTTATTATTGAAAACCTCTGGAAATATTTTTATTAGGGTCAGGGAAAAAATTTTAAATTTTTACTGTAAATCAGTGAAAAGTTAGAGAAAAACAAAATAATATTTTTGCGCCAACCCTGGTGATAAAAATTCTAGCGTTGGACCTTTTAAGATCGAAAGCCTCAAATATGAATAATTTCAGACAAGATTTTTGTTGAAAAATTTATTTTTTTTGACTTACAATTAGTGATTTTTTTCGATATTCGTTATTATTTTTTAAAATTTAACGTTCGCCAGAAGCCGAATACTTTGGAAATGCGTTTTTATCTTTCTTACTAACGGATCGAAAATAAACTGCCTACCCTGTAAAAAATTATGGATAGCATGATCCGAGAAAACAGTTTGGACCTTGGTAGAATGAATCAGTTATTTTGATTTTAAAGATTGGTTTTAACAATCCTGTCGCCGTCAGATGGCAGAACCATGCAAGGAGCACAAAATCGCAGCATATTCATCCTATCGAGATCCAATATGTTTTCTCGGATTATGCTATCCAACATTTTTTACAAGTTATATAAAAAATTTGGTTGATTTTTCTTTAATATTTTTAAAATTCAGTACTTAAAATTTGAGTAAAAAATTCATTTAAAGAGATATATTTTGTCTAATATGTTCGTTTAAATAAAAATTCTATGTAATAAAATTCTTTGAAACGAAAATTTTAACTAATGATTTTTATGTTTTTTTTTTTTTTTTTTGTATATAAATAATATATTTTTTTATTTTTATAATCATGCGTCCCATGATGTTTACTTGCCTTTAAAAAAAAATAATTGAAAACTAAAACAAAAATGTTAATTTAAAAATTTTTTTTTAGCAAATGACAACGGCGAGTAAGACTTACTCTCAGCAATCAAGGAGTAGAGGGGGTGGTGGCGGAGCTGCGCAATATCCCGGTGTTTATCCGGTTACGACAATGCAATCTGCCGTTCATGTCCAACCACCCCCTCTTATTCGAGCCACCCAATCAAATCAATCCAATATTGGGTAAGTTCATTTTCCACGTTATTAATAAGGAAACGAAAAAAAAAAACCATCAATTATTATCATTTTCGCTTCGCATACGAAAGTAGGGTATTTTTTATATATATATAGAGAGAGCAGCACAGCACGCAAACGCATGCTACATTCCATTTCAAATAATTCTCAAGTCAAAAATTCATTTTTTTATCATTCAACTATTTTTTTTATTTTAATTTAATTATTACATTTAAAATTTAATTATTTTATTTATTTGTTCTAAATTGTCCCGTCAACTTTATAAATAAATTTATAATATGGGCATTCCACGGGAAATTTTCATTGAAAAATTTTTTTTTCTGAAACATTTTTCGAAATCTATATGAAAAATAAGAAAATACGTATTTTTTTTATTTTTTTTTTATTTGATAAAAATGAAGGAAGTTATGATTTTTTGAAATTTAACGTCATCAAAGGCGTCATTTTTGGTCATTTTTGAAACATTTTTTTATTGTACTAAAGAATAAAAAATTATGCTGTATATGAAATTTGTTCACTTTGATGACGTTAAATTTAAAAAAAGTCATAACTTCCTTTATTTTTATCAAATAAAAAAATAAAAAGTATTTTCTTATTTTTCATATAGATTTCGAAAAATGTTTCAGAAAAAAAAATTTTGAATGAAAATTTCCCGTTGAATACCCAAAATATATGTTGTAAATTATGAATATTTTTTTTTAAATCGTCATAATTTATCAAATAATTATCTAATGTAAAAAATTAACGTTTTAGCTGAAAGTTATTTTTAAAAAAAATTGTATTTTTAAAAAAATTTTATTTTTATACATATGGAAAATTAAATTAAATTTAAAAAATTAAATTAAATTTTACCTATGATATTTTAAATTCGGATAAATTTTGTTTTTTTTCCTTTTTTGCAGAAAAAAATAGTGTACGTAATTTTTTATTTTTTTATAAGTGCACAAATTTTTTAGAGTTAGGAATTTTTAAAAATTTGAATATGTTAACAAAATATAACGAAAAAAAATTTTGAATTATTTATAAAAATAAACAATTTTTTTTTTAATTGAATTTGCATATAAATTTCTCACTAATTTTTAGCTTTTTTGAACTAAAAATTTAGTAGAAAATTTCAGAGACAAAAAATATTACTAAATCGATTAGTAATGTTTTACTAAAAATTAGTAAAAATTTCTATTAATTTTTTGTAATTTTCTATTAATAATTAGTAAAAAATTAGTAAATAAAATATTACTAAATCAATTACTAATATTTATTAAAAATTAGTGAAAATTTCTACTAATTTTTAGTCATTTTTCACTAAAACTTTAGTAAAAAAAAATAATATTATATATTTTACTAAATCATAAAGTACCTAATATTTTATTAAAAATTAGTGAAAATTCCTACTAATTTTTAGTCATTTTCGACTGAGAATGAGCAAATAAAATTTTAGTAAATATTACTAAATCAATTAATAATATTTTACTAAAAATTAGTGAAAATTCCTTCTAATTTTTAGTCACTTTTAACTGAGAATTAGTCAATAAAACTTTAGTAAAAAAAAATATTACTAAATCGATTAGTAATATTTTACTAAAAAAATTAGTAAAAATTCCCATTAATTTTTTTGTAATTTTCGATTAACAATTAGTCACTAAAACCTTTGAAAAAAAATATATTTCCAAATCAAATAGTAATATTTTACTAAAAATTAGTAAAAATTTCGACTAATTTGGATCAGTGAACTAATTCTTACTAATACAAATTTAGAGAGTAGATTATTTCGATTATTGATGATACATCCGGAAAAATGAGTTAATTTTTGTAAATTACATCTTTTCGATTTATATTTTTCTTACACATCGAAACTTTATTTTCGAATAAGATGTTGTCTTATAGACAATTATTTTCTAACTTGTCTCTTTGAGTGAAGAAATTTTTGCCCTTTAAACCAAAAATAATATTGATCTTCTTTTATTTCTCTTCTTTGTAATTTTTTGCTTTCTTCATCTACATCATCATCGTCATCATTTTGAGATTCGCAAATTTGTGTATTTTGATATTATCATTCAAAAACGCTAAATCCTTTGACACTGATATTCTTTATAGGGACAATGTTAAACGAAATATTTTCAGAAAAATAATGACTGTAACATAACCTTAAAATTAAAAAATGATTTTGTAACTACGTTTTTAACGCAAATTAATAATTGATAAAGATTATTATTTTTTTTAAATTAATTTTGAAAAATATTGTTATATACTTTTCAGAAAAAATTATTGTCGAATCAAAATCCTTGAATTATTTTTTTCTTTCAATTCAGAGGAAAATCGTAATATTTATCCAATTACAATTATTTTTCCAAATTTTAAAAATATTTTCTTCAAAAAATTATAAGCAATTCAAGTTATTTTTTATTAAATAGTTTTTGAAGAAAATATTTTTAACAATATTGAAAAAATTACGATTATAAAGAATAACAATAAAAATTAGTAAAAATAAGCAATTGTTTATTAAAAGAATAAAAATTTTTATTTTTGTCATGAAGTGAAAGAGAAAATTAAAAATGTAAAAAAATTATTATTTGACGAAAGATTTTAAATTTTATTTTTGTTTTTTTAATATCATTTTTTATGAACTGTGTTTAACTATATCTTCAAATTTTGATAAAAATTTATTTTTGAATATTTTTGTTTTCGTTGAAAACCATTTTTTAGTTTGAGATTATGTTACAGTCACCATCCGCCTCCTAAAACTTGTTCTTCATTGCTTTTTGGTGATATTAAATTATAGGATTCTATATAAATCGAAAAAAATGAAAACCTATTGTTTTGTAAATTTTCTTTTGTTACAATTAGTTTAATACGTTTTGTATAGAATATTTCGTGTTATAATTTTTTTTTTAAATTTGTATACAAAAATATCTTTATTGAGGAAAATATGGAATTATAAATTAACCACTAACAAATTGAAAAAATTTCATGTATTTCTCTTACTAATTACAGGTATTCATAAAAAAAAATTATATTTCTCTTTCAAAAATTAGAAAATTTTTTTTTAATTATATTTTTTTAAATTCGAAATTTTTTTCTTTAAAAATGACATGCCTTATTTCAAAAAAATATAATAAAAAAAATTTCTAATTCTTGAAAGGGAAATATAATTTTTTTTTATAAATGGCTGCAATTAGCAAGAGAAATAGAGATTGTAGAAATAAATAGCGGGGTGTATTTAGAGGCAAATTTCAAAATTAATTTTTTTTTTATTATTATTTTTAAAAAATTTATTGAAAATTACAATGATTTTCTGTAAGAAAAATATTGCATAGATAATCATTGTAAAAAAAAAATTGTAATTCAGTCGTAAAATTAGTAAAATATGATAAAATAGCATTTGTTTTTAATCGATTTTTATAGAATTGTTGTTAATTTCCTGGTTCGTAGTGTAATATTTTTTAACTTCTTTAATCATGTGTGATTAAAAAAATATATTAGAAAATATTTTCTAGTTTTGCATCAATTCCTTTTTTCTTTTTTTTTTTTTGTTTTATTAACATTGTTTGAAGTTACTTCATATACGAGCTGTTAAGACAATAACTTTAAAATACTTTCAATAATTATTAAAATACTTTCAATAACTATTAAAATTATTTATTTAAAATATAATTAAACAAATATTTTGTTAAATATAATTATTACTAAAAAAAATATACAGGCCTCGGATTATACGACTTTTTTTGACTTATTTTTAAAAAATGCGACATTTCGACTTATTTTTTACATTTTTAAAAAAAAATTTGTAAACAAAATACGTTTTTTTTAATATACAATGCAGATCTTTTTCACATTTTCTTTATTTCAATTATTTAACAAATTTTTAATTAAAATTCTTCACTAAATTAATTATTTTTAACAATTTTAATGAAATTCTTCACAAATTCAATTATCTTAAAATATTTTTCAATTAAAATTTTCATGAATTTTAATATTATTTATAATTTTAAAAAAATTAGCAAATAAAATTAAGAAAAATTTTTAATTCAAAATCACTTGATATTTAATAATTTGCAAAAATTTCAATTATTTTTAATGATTTGTATAATATTCTTCGATAATTAAAATACCTTGAAACCATTCTTTACTTAAAAATGGTTTTCAAATTATTGTATTTTTGTCTGCAATTTCTAATAACTTTTTTAGTGAAATCATCAAAAAATTTAAATTAAAAATCATTGGAAATTCAATTAATTTCAAAAATCAAAATTTTAAATCTTTGAAAATTCAATTCAATTTTTATAGAATTATTCTCATTACAGAATTAATAAAATGAATTTAATATCTAATAACAGTTATTTAAAGTAAAATATTCATTAATCAATAAAATTTTGGTAAAATAAAAAAAATCGACTTTTTCGACTTTTTTTCGAATATAAATCGACTAAAACAACTTTTTTTTGTGCCTTTAAAGTCGATCCGAGGCCTGAATATAGAAAAAGTTTTTTTAAAATTGAGTTATTAAGGTTCAAAATTTTAACTTTTAGATTGGATTTTGTTGAAAATTTCAACTTTAACCCTTATTTGTTACTTTGGGGTAAAATGGGTACCCTAAATTCAAAAAATTAAGCCAATCTGAAAAAAATAAATTTTTGACAATATCCAATATAAAGTTATGAATTATTTTCTGTACAGAAATTAAAAAAATTATATTTACTTTGAAAAATGTATTGAAATATTTTGTAAAATATCAAAATTTATTAAAATAAAAAAAAATTGTCTCATATGTTCTCAATAATTAAAAAAAAAGTATTTTTTTGTTATATTTTTAGCAGTTCGTAATTAGTCTTGAGGTTTTTTTTTGGGATGAAATTTTTTTTTTTTTTTTACCAACGTAACTTTAAAAAAATAAATTATCTTCTAATTAACATATAATTCATATTTATGAGACTATACAAAACGTTTAATTTAGACTAAAAGTAGTTTCAATAATAATAATTGAAAATTTTATTTTTTGAAGTAATTTCATTTTTAGTATTTTATTGCGTAGTACATTAAAATTTTTTTTTTCGGTTAAATTTAAGATTTAAAATTTTACACTGCTGGATTGAATTTTTAATTTTTCTATACGAATTATTTTTTTTCTTAAAAAATTTTTTTTTATTTATGAACTACTTTTTTCTTTGCAAATTATTTTTTAACGAATTTTGTATTTTTTTTTCACGAATTATGTATTTTTTTTTTCCTTTTACGAATTATTTTTTTCCTCACGATTTTGTTTGTTTATTAATTTAGTAGATTTACCTACACACATTTCTTTAAGTTTCATTGAATGAATTGTTATTAGAAAATTTTTTCGCGTTTTACATATTTTGAATGACATATATATATATATAAATATATAGATACCCGCACAAATTAGCCTTCCATCTTTGTATATATACAATGTATGGTTTTTTGTATAGTTATCCAACCTATGGGGAGGATGACTGGTGAGTTCCCGCATAATGTATAATAGATGTACACTTTCATTAATTATAAGCAATAATAAGCTAGCATGTGCTCGAATTTATTCATTTAATCATATATTCTCAGCCTAATTTCTGATAACAGTTCTCAAAAATATATCAGCGAGTAATATTCATTTTTTTTTAATATTAAATGTAATCAATTTTTTAAAAATATTTTTTGTATAATTATCCTCATTTTAAAAAATTATTTTTCTCAATCTCATGATTTTATTAAAGCTAAAAATTAAAGAAAATTTTTATAAATTGCTAAATTTTTTATTTTTCTATTTTTTAAAGGGATTTTTTAAACTATTTATTCTAAATATATATTTTTTTATTTTGTCTAATTTTATATTTTGTTATAAAATATAATATAATTTTTATATATTGTATTTATTTATTTATTTTTTGTAAAATTATAACTTACTTTCGCTATAAGTAATTGTAGTGGAGTTGCTTGTTACAAAAAAAAAAAAAAAAAAAAATCTTGTGCAAAGTTTACAGTCCAAATTATTATTAAATTGTACGGCACACTTTTTAGAAAAAAATAAAACCTTTAGTTTGCGATAATAAAAATGCATATAGATACCATAGAAAACTACCATGCAAAGTTTTGATTAAATTTTACATTGCTAAAAACTTCCTACAAGTTTCTACTATAAATTTCTTCCTCCCACAAGACGTAAAGAAAAACTTTTTCCTATAAAGTTTCTGTGAATTTGTTATGAAAAAAAAAAAAAAAAAAAAAAAATACTTTTCAAAATTTTTCTGCAAAATATCGCAAAGTTAAACCTTTTAAGGAGACGCATTAATATTCCTCACACTGTGGAAATTTTTGTGGTATCAAATTAAAAAAAAAAATATCGAATTTTTATTTAGCAGAATTTTTTAAAGTGGATTTTCTAATTAAACGAATTTTCATATCGTTGAATTTTTGTTTAACTAAATTCTGATTTAATAGAATGTTTTTTTTATCTGAACTTTTGTATGAAAGATTTTCGAATTCTTAAGTAGTAAAATTTTCATTTAACGGATAGGCAAAAAAATACAAAATTTAGGGAAAAAAAGTGTATAATTCTTACGGAATGACCCCAAAAAAAATCCGAAAAAACGGTTACAACTTCTCAAGAAATTGGCGGATCCTAATGAAACTTGGTAATTATGTTCTTTGCGATAAATGACTTTCTTCTATTGCAAGAAAATTAAAATTAAAAAAAAGGGTATAATTATTACGGAATAACCCAAAAAAAAATTTTAAAGAAACAAATATAACTTCGAAACAAATTATCGGATCGTTATGAAACTAGGTAATTATGTCCTTTGCAATGAAGTACATCTTTTAATGGCGAAAAAATAGAAATTTAGAAAAAAAAAATGTATACTTCTTACGGAATGACCCCAAAAAAATCCCAAAAAACGGTTACAACTCCTAAAGAAATTAACGGATCCTTATGAAACTTGAGAATTATGTTCTTTGCAATAAATAAAATTTTTTTATATCAGAAAAATACAAATTTAGAAAAAAAGCGTATAATTCTTATGGAATGACTCCCCCCAAAAAAAAATTTACCCCAAAGAACATTTCTACATAGAATTTTTTCGATATGAAAATTCGGCTTATTTTTGAAATTTCTTTTAGAAAATTATTCTAAATAATAATTTTTATTGTAAAAAATTTTATTAGACATAATTTTTTTTTTTTGACGGAATTTTTTAATTTTTTAATTAGTAATTGAGAAAATTAATTTTAAAATTAAAATTCTGTTAAATTGAGAATTATTCTAAATTAAAATTCGATTAAATTAGAATTCTTTTTAAAAAAAAAGTGAGTAAAAAGAAATTCTGTGAAATAAAAATTCTGCAAAATAAAAAAGTTATCTAAAAATGTTGTGACGTAAAAAATTCGTTAAAAAAATTATTTAAAAGGCTAATTTAAAAAAAAAAAGTTCGTCTAATAAAATTCTTTAAATTTAAAATTCTGATTAATTATTTTTGTGGAACTATAATGCTCCACGAATATTCATGCGTCTCTTTTTAAGGATTTCAAAAATTTTTTAATTATCTTAACTTCTGCTAAAGCACTTTTTTTTTTAATAACAATAATTGTGATTTTTCGTTAAAAAAAAAAACTTAGTATTAATTTTTTTTAACTTTATTTTTTTGAATTAAATATAAATTTTTTTTGTATTTGATATTAAAATATATTTTTTTTTTCATTTTCGATTAAATATAAATTTTTGTTATATTATCGATTATTATTATTATTTTCAAAATCTTGTATTTTTCTTTGTATGTTGTTTTTGTCGATGATGCATTTTTGCATAATTATTTTATTTAGACAAATTAGAGAAATAATTTTTTTTTTTAATGAAAAACGTATTTTAAAAATAGATTGTAAAACTGTTGTTTCGAATATTTTGTTTGATAAAGAATAAATATATACATATATATTCAAATGCATTAAATTTTGCTGTTGTTCAGAGCTATGCGATGCTATCTTTAAGTAACCTATTTTATTCATTACACATACAATTGTTTTTTTTTTTTTTTTTTTTGAATAATAAGTATGGTCGATCAACTAGTAATCAGTTTTAACTAATATAATAAAATGATTCATGTTTTAGAATCGTTTTATAAAATTATTATATTATTATCAGATTTTTTTTTAACAAAAAGTTGATTTTTCTATTTCGATAAAAAAAAGAAAAAACTAAATAAATAAGGGTAAAGGTATTACTGTGGATTATGTAATTAGAAAAAAGGAGATTTAAAAAATTTTTAACTCTCAGTTTATAAAAAAAATTGAATAATCTTAAATCCAAATTTCAGTATTGCAAGTGTTTTGAAATTTCTGCTATATTTATCTGAAGGAAGAAGAAATAAATAAAGGAACATAATTTGAAATTTTTTGTTTTACAGAAAATTTAAAGAAAATCGATTTTTTCAAAAATAATAATTAAAATTAATGATTTAATTATTAAGCTCTTGGAATAATTTTTTCAACCATTCTGAAAATAGTGAATTAAAAAAAATAATTAAAATTAATTAATTAATAAGAAAATTAAAATTAATTAATTAAGAAGAAAATTAAAATTAATTAATTAATAAGTAAATTAAAATTAAAATAAAATTAATTAATAAGTAAATTAACTTAAAATTAATAATTTTTGAATATTTACAGTAAATAATACATATTACTGCAGTAATACCTTAGCTACTCAATTACATAGTTGATCAATCTTACTATAGAGGGAATTATATGTCAAGAACAAAAATTTATTTGTAACGCTCTTCCTATTCGTTTAAAATTTTACAGGTAGTTTTTCCTTTTGAAAAATAGATGAACAACCAAAAATATATTTTTTTTTCTATCATAAAAAAGTCTCGCAGTTAATTTTTTTTTTTGAAAAATGACCTATTTTTTGAAATTAAAACTGAAAAATACATTTTTGCTCTAAAAAAAAATTTATTTTTTTTTGGTCAAAACAATATTGGATAAGTACTAATTAATAGGAAAATTTTTTTAAAGAAATTTATCTAAGCAATTTAACAATTAATCCAAGTAACACCATTGATTTTAATGTAATTATTATTATTGCAGAGCATAGAAAAATAATGTGAAATTTTTCTTTATACGTTCCCTTAACGCTTATTTTAAACTTAAAAATTTTGTTAAAACTTTCTAAAATTCGTTATCTTTCTATGAGAAGGTGAAGTTTTTGAATTTTGTTATCATTGACCGAATCTAATCTCCATGTTATTTTTAGCGGCTTGGTTTAGTTATTATTGCTCTGTCATTTTTCTGAATTTCCACTCAATTTTTTTTTTTTTTATTTCAGGACAACGAATGAGAAACCTTGCTTTTTAAGAGACGGCGAAGTTTGAATTTGTTTTTCAATCTAATTTCCAATTATGTCTTTTTTTTTTTTTTAATAATTCTCAGTATTTCTCTGACTATTGGAATTTATTCTCCATTCGGTCTTTGAAAACTTGGAATGAAAAATCTTGCCTTCTATGAGAAGGATTAGTTTAAATTTTCTTTACCAGGCGCATGAATTTTCCACGAATGTTTGGAATTCTTATTTTCCAAAAAGTTTATCAGTTATAATTATTTTCTTTTTGACGAATTATCATTTTTCAAATTTAACATTTGACAGCATTTCTTTGTAAACGAATATTTAGTGAAAGAAAATTTTTTACCAAATTTTTATTGGATAGAATTTTTATTTGGTAAAATTTTTATTTTACAGAATTTTCAATTTTTTATTAAAAATATATTCTGATTGAACCGAATATTATTAATTTTTCAGAATTCTCAGTCTGGAAAATATTTTAAGTGATTCGAATTTTTAAATTCCATAATTTCCAATTCAAAAAATCGCAGAAACGATAAAAATTATTAAAACTAGATTTTTCTTATTATTTCAATTTTATTCTATTGAAAAATAATAATTTTTAGCAAAAATTGGTTTTGAAAATTAAAACTAGATTTTTCCTATTATTTTAATTTTAATTCTATTGAAAAATAAAAAATTTTTAGCAAAAAAAGATTTTGAAAAATATTCGTTGCCAAAATCGACTTTTTGTAAAAATTACTCAAAATAACGATAAAAAATTATGAAAACTAAATTTTTCCTATTATTTTAATTAATTTAACTAAAAGTTTTTGGCGCGAATTTCAAAAATAACCAATCAGAAATTATCATGAAAATTGTGATAGGTTAATTTTAAAATTCGCGCCGAAATTTTTTTATCTTTCGGACATTTCCAATTTCGGACAAATGAAAATTCGGCTTTTTTAAGAATTCTGTCAAATAAAATTTTCGGTCAAATTGAAAATTCGGACAAATGAAGATTGGTAATTCTGGAATTTGAAAATTCAAATGATTTAAAATTCTGTTTTTATACAAAAAAAAAAATTGTATTTAATAAATTTCTGAGAATTTTTCTAAGTTAATATTTGGTTAAATTAAAATTTTTTAAATAAAAAGTTTGTTAAATAAAAATCCTGTCAAATAAAAATTTGGTAAAAAATTTTTTTTTGAAAAATTCTTTTAAAAAGAAATTCTGTCAAATGTCAATTCGAAAAATGATAATTAGACTAAAAAAAGTAGTTTTCGCTAATAAAATTCATTTAAAATGAAAATTCGAACCATTGTTGTGAAAAATTTGTGAAAAATTCATTTGCCTCTTTTTTTTATTTGTCGAAATTTATTCTCCTATGTAGGACATAATTCAAAAAATTCAACGAAATTATATTCATTCGTAAATTTCCTATAAAATAGTACTTTCCATATATTTTATTTTCACCAAAAAAAAACTATGGTTTTTGGAGCAAAAATTATTTTTTTTTTTAAATATTTATTTCGAAAAATGTCAACATGTAAAAAGTTGTCAACGTCATTTTTTTCCAAAAAATAATTTTCATGCTGCAAAAATTTTTTTTTTAAAATTTATAATTAAGACTGAAATTACAAAAAAAAAAAAACATTTTTAAGCTCACAAATTTCACTTATGAAAATAATTTAAATTTAAATTCAAAAATCGATTTTTTAACTCAGAAATATTCAAAAATTATTTTTTTTCAAAAACAAATTTTGTGATGAATTGTGCTAGTCATTGAAAAAAAATATGTACGAAAAATTAAATTTTTTTTTGAGAATAATTCAGTTTTAAAATTAAAAAACAGGTTTTTTATTCAAAAAATATTTAAAAATTATTATTTAAACAAAATAATTGTCCACAATTATGCTGGACTTGTTGAATTCAGCACAAAATTTATTTTTCAAAAATAATGTTATTTTTAAATATTTTTGCGATAAAAGAATATTTTTTAATCTTACAAATTAGATTATTTTCAGAATTTTTTTTTAATTTTTGTTAATTGTTCTAATTGTCTCTTTTTGTGCTCTCGACAAGCATAATTTAGTAAAAAATTTGTTTTAGAAAAATAAGTGTTGAAATCGGATAAAATTTTTTTTTGTTTTTTTAATTTTAAAGTTGAATTATTTTTAAATAATTTTAATTTGTCGTAAATGTTATGATTGTTTCTTTTTGTACTTGATTAGCATAATTCAGAACAAAATTTGTTTTTTTGAAAAATATTTTTTTTCGATATTTCTAGGACAAAAAATCGATTTTTGATTTTAAATTTTAAATATTTCTAGAACTAAAAATTGATTTTTGAATTTAAATTTAAAAGATTTTGAATAATTTATTAAAAAAAGTTTTTAGAAATTTGATACAAGAATTTATTTTTGTTTTGCTTTTAAACAATTGTTTATTTTTAATTACATATAAGTGGCATTTGTGAGCTTAAAAATGTTTTTTTTTTCAAAATTTGCGTCCTAATTATTATGAAAAAAAAAAAATTTTTTTCCAGCAAATTGCACGAAATTTTTTTTGGAAAAAATCAAATTCCTAACTTCTTGCACGTAAAATGTGAATTTTACTAAATCATCAACTGCGAGACTTCTTTTATCAGAGACAGGAACTTGAAATTTTGGTTGGTCATGTATTATTCCAGGTAGAAAGACACCTGTAAAATTTGAGCCAAATTAAAAAAAAAAAAAAAAAAAAAAAAAAAAAAAAACAGTTACTAAGAAAATATTTGTTCCTAGCGTCCAATTCCCTCTAATATCCCAACAGCTTGAAGGAAATTTTTATTCATATTTTGTGTTAATTTAACTTTTTTCATTAATTTTCTCTTATACAAATATTTAACACTTGATTTTCTTTTTGGATTTTATTCATCTTCCCAATATCAATTTTCGAGCAAAATTTTTTTTTCTCTTTTTTTTTTCATCAATTTGGAAAAATGAGAATATCTCTCAGTAGTTTCCTCTTTCTCTCTTTCTCTCTCTCTTTCTATCTATTTCTCTCTTTCTCAAAAAAGAAAAAAGAAAAAAATTTGTATTTTTTTTTTCTGAGATGAAGAACGCTTTTTGCGTTTCAGGGTGTCGCCAACGTACACGACGCCAACAAGCATGGGCGTTCCTAACGCCGCTGCCCCGTATCCGCAGATGCTCGGTTTGAGCGCGGAGCAAGTTCAAGCTCTGATGCCAGCACAGACGTCGCCATCGACGCTCTTGCCGCATCCACAGAGACATACGCCACCCGTGCACAATTCCTCGCATAACAAATACCCGCCACCTTTAATTCCAGTTAACGGCAGCAGCAATAGCAGTTCCGGGTGAGAGTTTTAATACCTTTCCAATAATTCCTTTCCATTATTTTTCTCAATTAATAATAATATTAATAATAATAATAATAATAATTACTGTGCTCGAATCGGAATTTTTTTTTTGTTTCTTTTTTTGGAGAACAACCTAGACACCTGTCAGGTAAAATCTAATTCGAGTATGCTGAATTGAAGGAAATTAATTCCTGAATTGAATTTACAGCGGCGCATGAATTCGATTTTTACGATAGGTAATAAAAAAAAAATAATAAAAATAAAATTGAAAAATACATGACCAACCAAAATTTCAAGTTTATAATTTTATATTCTTTTTTCAATAATCTAATTCTGAGGGTAATTGTCAGTTATTATCTAATTCCTCATTTATTTAACATAATTTTTATGTGGACTGATTTTAAATTGATATAATTATTTTTTGGCCTAATTTTTATCTGTACGAATTAATTTAGGGTTGCCACCCACTTGGAAAGATTCCCCGGAAAGTGCCCCCTGGAGGTTCTATCAGAATTCCGCTGGAACTTCTAACGTAATTCCGTCGGAATTCCATCGGAGTTCCAAAGAATTTCCGATGGGATTCCAACGGAAAAAAGGACTCTAAAAATTTTTGAAAAAATTAATTGGAATCCCATCGGAAATTCTTTGGAATTCCGACGTAATTACGTTGGAAGTTCCGGCGGAATTCTGATAGAACTTCCAGGGGGCACTTTCCGGGAATCTTTCCAAGTGGACACAGACCTGAAAAATTTGGTATTGTATTGTCATGGAAATACTTTTTTTTTTTTTAGTATACAATGCAGATTTTCTTCAGATCTTCTTTATTTGAATTATTTAACAAATTTTTAACTAAAATTCTTCACTAAATTAATTATTTTTAATAATTTTAATGAAATTCTTCACTTAAACTATTTTTCAATTATTTTTATGAAATTTAATAATTGTTTAGAATTTTAAAAAAATTATTATAGCTAATAAAATTACCAAACAATTTTAATTCAAAATCACTTGAAATTTAATAATTTGCAAAAATTTTAATTATTTTTTTATAATATTCTTCGAAAATTCAACTATCTGTAAGCATTTTTCACTTAAAAAATTTTTATATTATTGTATTTTTGTATGCAATTTCTAATAAATTTTTTTAATAACAGAAATCATCAAAAAAATTTAAATTAAAAATTAATTGAAGTTCAATTAATTTTAAATATCTAAATTGTAAATCTTTGAAAATTCAATTACTTTTAAAAAATGTTATCTAAAATTATTTAAGGGGAGTCACAACCTTTATTTTGACCCACTTAAATTTAAATTATTAAACGAGGTTATATTTTTTTTTTCTTGCATCATTTGGGTTCTAAAAACATATAAGGTAGTCAAAAAAAGAAAATTTTATTTTTTGACCATTTTAGAATTTTTATTTTTTAAAAAAATTAATATTTTTGAAAATCCATGCAAGAGATTCTAAAGAATTATTAAAAAAAGTGTGGAAAAAATTTGACAATAAAAAATACTTAAAATTGTGATAGAAGATACATTTTAATAGAAAAGTTCAATGATGTCTTAACTTATATTTTTCTTTCTTTTTTTAAAAAAATTAAAATTTTTGAAAATCCATGCGAGAGATTCTTAAGAATCATTAAAAAAGCGTGGAAAAAAATTGGCGATGAAAAATAGTCAAAATTGAGAAAGAAGATAGATATTTAAAATATTAATTTTTTTTAAGAAATTAATTTCTAAAATGGTCAAAAATTTTATTTTTTTGACCATCATGTATGTTTTTAGGACCCAAATGATGTGCAAGAAAAAAAAATATCTTTCTACGATCATGAAAATTTAAAGGATTCAAAATGAAGGTTGTGGCTTCCCTTAATAAATTATTTTTTAGTTCTGTAAAATTTAATTATTGTCTGAAAATTAACAAAATCTTTTGAAATTCAATTATTTTTAAAAATTTCAACTTTAACTCTTCTAAAATTATTATTTAAAAAAAAAATTTTATTTAAAAACCTGTAAAACTTGATCAAGTATTGTCTGAAACTTTTTTTAACCATAAAGGCTAAAAGAATTTTTTTTTAGAAATTTGTCCTACTTAAATAAGATTTTGAAAATTTGTCTTACAATTAGTTCGATTTTTAATTTTTTGCATATTTTTGAAAATTCTAGTTAAAAACACACACATTTTTGAAACAAAAAAAGAACTTTTAAAATTGATGCATTTTTAATGAAGTTATGAGCATTCAAAAATAAAAAATTATTAAAATTCTCCAATTTTGAAAAATTCATATCTCGTTAACGGATTGATGAAAAAATTTAATAAAAAAATCATTAAGCTCTTTTTTGCAAAATAGGTACAAAACGGTCAAAAAATATGAGCCAAATCGAAGAGATGAAAATTCTCAAGTTTCCAAGTTGACATTACAAACTTTTCTATTTTTAAACATTCGGTTTTTATAGTGTCAAAAATAACTGATCGATTTAATTTATTCAATTTTTATATAATAAAGAAGGACTGAAAAAAATTAGTTTCAAATAATTTTTAAAAATTTATTTTACATTAGATTCTTGTTTCAAATTTTGAATGAGTTAGAATCTTTTGAAAATTCTTCTAATTTAAAAAATTATTTTCATTATATTTATGCGTCCCATAATTGAGACAGGTAAAAAGAGACTAAATAGAAAAAATAAGGTCAAATGATACTTAGGTGATATAAAAATTAGATGAAATGATAACATAAATTAATAATAATGAGAATTAATAATAGAAATTAAGTTACAGAAATATTAGGTTAAATTAGAATTAGATTAATTGACAATTAGGTCAAATGAGGATTAGATTAATGAAAGAATTGGAGAAATAAAAATAAAGATTAAATACAGATTAGACCAAGTAAGAATTAGTACATATGAAAATTGTAACAATAAATTTTTAGGCCATCAGGGAGAAAATTTCTGTGCCTTCGTTAACCGTTTTTCAAAATTAGATTGAATTTTCAAACTATTCTATATTTTATATTTCCGATTAATGACTAAAAGAAAATTTAGTTTTTCCAAGCAAAGACGGAAAGGAAACTCGTTTTCTATTAAGAATTTTTGAATTAAAAAGTATCGAATTTTTATTGTTATTAAATTCAGAAATTTCGAATTAGATTTTTCTTTTAGAAAAATTTTTTTCTTTCCATCAGGAATTATAGAGATTTATTAATTAAAATGTATTTCTTCGATTTTTGTTTTTGATAACAAACACTAAAGATTGTTTTTTTTTTTTTCAATTTACAGCAGGGACTCGAGAGGACGAAAACCATTAATACCCATTGCTGAAACACATACTTCAGGGAATTGCCAAGTACCACCTTATCAAGTGCAAAAGGCATTGGTAGAAGACAAATTGGTTCCCTGTATAAATTTGAAACCTTTTGTCTATCAAGAACTTTTAATGACACTACCTGACTTTGTCCAACAGTATTTCCCTGCCAGTGATATCAATAGTTGTAGACAAGTTCTCACCGACGTTCTCGGCATCGATTTGTATCAAGGAAACAGGTGAGCTATCAGTTTTATTTAAAAACTGTTTTTTTTTTTCCAATTCAAAAAACTATCATTTTTATGCTTACATAAATCTTACATTATGATAAATTTCCCATAAAAATTAATCTTTGAAATATTCATTTAAAAGAATAGTAGATATAATTATTTTTTTTTCAGATCAAGTTTCATTTTATGAATGATTAAATTTAGCAGAATTTTAAATGATTCCAATTTTTAAATGCCCGAATTTCAAATTCATCGTATCTTCAGTTTTCTTCGAATTTTTATTTTCCCGAAATTGTAAATGACCGACAGAAAGATATTAATTTAAAATTAAAATTTAATTTTTAGTACAAACTGTTGCTTTTTCAAAATTTAATTATTTTGAAAATTTGAATCTAAAAATTCTCTGCAAAATTAATTATTTTCAATAATTTTAGTGAAATTTTCGGTAAACTAAATTATTTAAAACATTTCTAAATATCAATTATTTAAAATATTTTAATTCTTCCAAAACTAAATGAATTTTAAAGTTATCTAAAATTCTTCGCAAAATTAATAATTTTCAATAATATTAATCAATTGTTTCAATTCAAATAATTTTTCTTTTAAAATTCAATTTTTTACAAAAAAATTTTAGATGAAAATTCTCCTATTTTCCATAAATTATCCTATTTTTTAAAAATGGCTGAAAAATAAACAGAAGACAGAAAAATTTCGGCGCAATTTTTATAATTGACCAATTAGAAATTATCAAGAAAATCGTGACTGGTGAATTTTCAAAAATTGCAATTTGAAATTGTTTATTCGGCCATTTGTAATTTTGGACAAATGAAAATTCGGCGTCTTAAAGATTCTATTAATTTTAAATTCGTACAAATCAAAATTCGGTAATTTGGAATTTCTGTTATTCAAAAATTCGAATCACAAAAAATTCGATTGAATGAAAATTCTGTTAAATTAAAATTCGCTTAAAATAAAATTATTTTTAAACAAAAAGTCATGTTAATTAAATGACTGTAAAATAAAAATTCTGTCAAAAATTCAGTAGCTTAAAATTTTGTTCAATAAAAATTCGTATAAAAAGAAAATCAGTCAAATTTTAATTCGAAAATTGAAAAATCGTCCAAAAAAAATAAAATAAAAATTCTAATTAAATTAATTAGAAGTTTTTTTGTCAGAGTTGTCACGGGTCAGGGAAAAGTCAGGGAATTTTATGAATTGTACTGGAAAAATATCAGATTTCTAAAAAAAAATGCTACTGAAATTATAATTTTTGAAATTTTCAATTCAAACTTTTGCTTCTAAAAATTGTTGGCCTCGGATCGGCTTTTGAAAGAAAAAAAAAAAGTCATTTTAGTCGATTTACATTACAAGAAAAGTCTAAAAAGTCCATTTTTTATTTTCAATTAATTGATAAATATTTTTTTTATTATTATTAACAATTTGTTACTAGAAATTAAATCAAATTTATTAATTCCTCAATAAGAATAATTCACAGGAAAATATTTTCAACAATTTTTCTTTTTAAACCACCGAATTAAACTGAGATAAATTTTTGAAGATTTCAATTCAGTTTTAAAACAAATTTTCAAAAATAATTTAAAGTTACGAAATTCAGAATTTTTGAAAATGTTTTAAGTAATTAAATTTTCGAAGAATTTGATTAAAATATTATTGAAAAAAAAATTTATTTTAAATCAAAATTTCTGAAATAATTGCATTTAAGAAGATTTTTAATTAAAATTTTTAAAATAATGGAAAAGTTTGATTAAAATTTTTTAGAAATAATAAAATTTCAAGAGATTTTAATTGAAATTTTTATAAATTTGAATTAACGAAATTTTTTTTTTTTTACAAATTTTCAGACATTAATTGAATTTCAGAGAATTTTCAACTGAAATAGATTCTAAATAATTGAATTTTGATGGATTTACAGTTAAGATTTTTAGAAATAATTGTCTTTTTTGTGATTTTAAAAATTTTACTTTTTGTTGTAAATAGAAGCATTAATTAAATAATGATTTTAACAATGGAATTTTTGAAAAATTTTATTTTAAAACTGTTGTAATAATTAATTAAACAAAGAATTATATTAATAAAAATTAGCAAAACAATTTTTAATTCAATTAACATTTAATTAATTATTCAATAATTTTTTATAATTTTATTCATTAATTGAATTTGAAAGAGTCAGAGTTAAAAATTTTTATGAAAGTAATTAAATTTCAAAAGATTTTAAATTGAAACTTTCACAAAATTCAATTGATAAAAATTTTTTTACAAAGTTTAAAGAATAATAGAATTTTAGAGTATTTTTAATTAAAAAAACTTCTTATTTCCCTGAATTATTGAAAAAATGTATTAAAGTTATTAAAACAATTAATTTAGCGAAGAATTTTTATTAAAATTTTTTTAGAAATAATTGAATTATAGAGAATTTTTGAAAAATTTGATTAAACTTATTAGAAATAATTAATTGTAAAAGAAATTGTAGTTAAAATTTTTGGAATTAATTGAATTTCAGGAGATTTTTAATTAATATTTTCGTAAATAATAATTTCTCTAGATATTTTAAAAGCTTCAAAGAATAATTAAACTTAAGAATTTTGAATTGGAAATTGTTTTAAATAATTGAATTTTCGAAAATTATGATTAAAATTAAATTATGCAACAATTTCAATTTTAGATTTAAAATTTAGAAATAATTGTATTTAAGGAGTTAAAATTTTAAGAAATAATAATTGAATTACAGGAGATTATTAATTGAAACTTTCATTCTGAATTGGTGAAATTTTTTGAAAATCTTTAGACAATAATGTGAATTTTCAATTGAAAACTGTTTTAAATCATGTAATTTTCGAAGAATTTATTTTAAATTATTGAAAATAATTGATTTTGCAAAGAATTCAAGTTAATATATTTTTGTAATAATTCAATTTAAAAAGAAAAAAGTCGTACAATCCGAGGCCTGTTATTGAAAACCTATTGAAATATTTTCATTAGGGTCAGGAAAAAAATGTTAATTGTAAATCAGGAAAAATTATGGGAAAAACAAAATAATATTTTTTATGTCAATCTTGAAATTTTTGTTTAAATGGTCTAATGTGATTTTTGTATATTAATGTGAGAATTTCTTTTTTTTTCAGATTACAGATGGAGATGTTGATGAAGGCAAATAAATGCTCGTCTTTAAATGAAGAATTACCGCTTATTCAAGTACGAAGTGTCATGAAATTCATGCCACAGATGAAGTACATGTTTAATAGATCAATGATACCAAACTCATCGGCAACGTCAACGCCAACACCCACTCATTCGTCTGAAGAACATCCCTCGAAAAAGAGGCAACGCACCAGCTAGGATTGGCTACAGCCTTATTGGCCTACTTATGATTACTATCACTCGGCTTTTTAAGGATACAAGAAGAGATAATTGAAAAAATTTCGCTTTTCCGTCTAAAGCTAAAAGAAAAAATAAAATAAATAAATAAATAATAATAATAATAATAATAATAATTGAAAAAAAGGATCCCTTTCTTTTTTTGTTGAGAAAAAAAAAACCCTGTAAATAAACACAGAGTTTTTAACTTGTCAAAAAAAAAAAAGTTCACAAAAAACAATTTTTGAAAAAATCAACTATTTTGAAAATAATGAAGAGAACTTTTTTTTTTAATATTAAAAATCATATTTATTGAAAGGGGGAAAAAAAATAGAGGAAATTTATTCCTTTATTACTGACAAACATCCAAAAGAGACATTAGGGTGAAAAACAAATATATATATACATTATCGATGTATATTAAATAAATAAATTGCCAACTGTTGTAAAAGAGAAACAAAAAAAAATCGACTAAAGATAATTTAAAAAGGAAAAAAATTATGAGAAAATTTTTAATTTTCTGAGAATATTTCCAAAAGGAAAAAAAAAGCTGAGCTTAGTTATAATAATTGTCTTATGTCGAAAAAAGAGAGAGAGAGAGAAAGAGAGATACAGGGAAGAAACTTTTTTTTTTTTTTTTTCATGCAAACCGAATATAGTCGCGCCAGTATTTCTGTGTATATTATATAATAGGAAGACTATTTTCAAGCCGATTCAATCGGAATGCAAAAAAAAAAGAACTTCATGAAAAAGTTTCCTTGCAAAAAAAAAAAGAATGAAAACAATTCTTTTATTCCATTTTCACAAAACGGGGACAATTTTTTGACTTTATTTACAGTCAAATAATCCCAATATGGAAGAATGTTATGAGGCTAGTTTAAAAGAAAAATGTGTCCATGTCACGAAAAAACGGAAAAACCTTTGTAAAAAGTCTCGCATATCTATATTGAAAAAAAAAAACAAAAACAATGAGAGCGTAAGAGTGTTTAGAATTTTTTTTTGGAGTGTTTGTGTAAATAATTAATAAAAAAGAGATTATAGATAATTGTTCAATTTTATACACAACGGTAGCAAAACTGTAAAAAAAAAAAAAAAAACAAAAAAAAAACAATGCAAACAGTCGAAAAGTATTTTGTTATTTATCATTCATTATTAAAATTATTCTCTTTTTAAAAAAAACATAGAGTCACGATTTTCTTCTAAAACAAAAATAGCCAATTTCATGAAACTGATTCAGGAAACGAATATTTTTTCCGATGAATTATTTTTAAATAGCAAATCCATGTGTTTATTTGAAAAAAAAAAAAATTATATGTAAAACTAGAATTTTTTGGAAAATTGCAAAGAAAATTCTACAAAAAAAAAAAAAAAAAAAAAAAATACTAGGAGCGTACATTATTGCTGTGAAAAATTGTATTTCAATAGCTATTTATTTTATTGATATTTCTGAATATAAATAAATAAATATATATATATAAATAATATCCATACAATAATGAAAAAATTTTTAAAAATAGGTAAAAGTGTAATATAATTAAATTCCAAAACGAGGGAACTCTTTTTTTAAATTTCAAATTAAACTTGAAAAAATTTATCTATATTTTAATTTTTTGTAAAATTCCTATTTTCTTTTTCTAAAAAAAATTGTTATTTTTTTTTTTTTTTAATTTTGTTTCTCCATTTTAGGAGAAAATCGTAGCTACTTTAATTTAAGCCTGTTTGAATCAATAAAAATAAAAAAAAAACATTTTTTTCACGCCCACCTAATTTAGTTCTAGACTAATAGAAATAAGACTAAGGAGAATGGAGTAAAAGTTGTAAATTATAATTACACGGATGATTTTTGTGTAATATGAATCTCGTCGAAAAATGTAAGAACAAAAAAGAAAAAGAAAAAAAAAGAGAGTGAGAGTAAGATTAAGAGTGAAAGAGAGCGAAAGAGAGAGAGAGAGAGAGAAAAAAGCCAATACTTATATGACTCATGAATGAAATTTACACAAAATAAAAAAAAAAAAGAGAGGTTCTCAAAGTACATTAGATTAGAGCATTTATTTGTTAAAGGACAATTGTTGCGATAATACGTGTATTATAATTTATCATACTGTCATCTGTAAATATAGACGTTAAGATTTAACTAGAGATACTAGCTATTTCAAAATAAATTCGCGATAAACAAAATACAAGTTTCATCCCCTCTTTTTTTTGTTTTATTCCTCTTTTTTACTATATGTAAAAATGTTCTTTTCCTTTTCAAAATTAGCGGGAACTTTTAACATAAATCGCAGTTCATAATTATAATTAGTCTTTTTTTAATATTTATTTATTTTGAATGCATGTTATGTTTTCTTTTCTTTTTTTGATGAAAAATAAAAATTAATCGGGAATTTTTTTTTTTTTAAGAGGTCTCTAAATTATAAAAATCTTTCTTTTTATACTTTTATATATATATATACACATATATATATTATTTATTTTAAGTTTAGGGGAAAAAATGCACTATCAGGCCTCGGATTAGTACGAAAAACAAATGATTATTTTACTTTTCACCTCACACTAGAATTATAATATTTTATTTACGTACATTTAAAAAAAAGTCTATTCAAATTAAATTATAAACAAAAGTCGCAAAAATTTAGTACCTTTTTTCAAAAATAATTATCAATTCAGACTTATGAATGTACGTCTGTTTTTTACATTTTTTTCAACTTTTTTTTTTCTTATTAATAAAATTTTATTACCATCAACCGGGGCTATTCTATTCACCCTGGGGCTATTATACTCAGCTATGAATAATAAATTATTTGAAAACTAGCAAAATTAAACGCGCGCAATCGCACCAAATTGAGTGTTTAATTGTTTGTTATAAAGAAATTAAAGATTAATATTATCAATAATAATTTAATTTATTAGAATATTATTACATATTAAATGATAATAATGAAAATTATATGTTTACAGGCCTCGGATTATACGACTTTTTCCGACTTTTTTCAAAAATACGACTTTTATCGACTTATTTTAATAAAATGCGACATTTTTTTTTACATTTGAAAAAAAATGTAAATAAAATACATTTTTGTTAGTATAAAATGTAGATCTTCTTCAGATCTTCTTCAATTCAATTATTTAACAAATTTTGAACTAAATTGATTCTTCAATAAATTAATTATTTTTAATAATTTTAATGAAATACATCACACATTCAATTATATCAAAATTATTTTTCAATTAAAATTTTTATGAAATTTAACAATTGTTTATAATTTAAAAATAAAATATCACAATAAAATTGAATTATTTTTTAAAAATTTCAATTCAAAATAAACTAAAATTCAATTATTACCCGAAATTTTAATTCAAAATCAATTAAAAATCCAATAATTATCCAAAATTTTCAATGTAAAATTTAATTATTTACCAAGTTTTCAATTTAAAATGAAATAAAATTCAATTATTTTCTAAAATTTCTATTCAAAATTAATTATCCAAATTTTCAATCAAAAATGAACTTAAATAAAATTATTATCCAAAATTTCAATTAAAATTCAATTATTTCCCAAAATTTTCAATTTAAAATGAACTGAAATTCAATTATTTTCCAAATTTAAAATCAAATAAAATTTAATTATTCTCAAAAATTTGAATTCAAAATTAATTGAATTTTCAAAAATTTGAATTTAAAAGCTACTAAAATTTAATTATTTCTAAAATTTTCCATCGAAATTTTTTTTTTTTTGAAATTTAATCATTTTAATTATAACTCGAAGGAAATTTAATTATTTTTAACTATTTTAATAATATTCATTCCAATTTCAACTATCTGAAACCATTTTTTAATTAAAAATGATTTTCAAATTATTGTATTTTGTCCGCATTTTCTAATAAATTTTTAGTGAAATCATCTAAAATTTTAATTACAAAACACTTAAAGTTTCAATTAATTTCAAAAATCTCAATTTTAAATCTTTGAAAATTCAATTAAATTTAAAAAATGTTTTCCAAAAATTGTTTGATAAATTATTTTTAGTTCCGTAAAATATAATAATTGTTTGAAAATTAATCATAAATTAATCATAAGATTACTATTCAAAAAAACACGTGAAATCAGAAAAGGCTAACTTCAAGTTAGGACAGAAGGACAGACCAAGCATTTTATTATTATATAATTTTCAAACTGTGTCTCAATTTTAACTCAATAATTTGGGACGCATGATTAATTTTTAAAAATCAATTGTTCGTATTTTCATTTCCTAGAATTACATTAAATATAATTTTCATTGAGGAGACTATTATTTGTTTCAATTATTATTTTGCAGAATTTTCATTAAACCGATTTTCTATATTATACAGAATTTTTATATAACCGAAATTTCACTTCACAGAATTTTTATTTGTTCAAATTTTTATTTTCTCTAATTTTTTTTTTCGAATTATTATTTGATCGAATTTCCATATAATCGATTTTTCATACCGCAGAATTTATACTTATAACAGAAAAAACATTTAATAGAATTTCTAATTGATAGAATTTTCATTTGTCCGAAATTACAAATGGTCGTACAAATAATAACACAGTTCGACAAAATTTTGCCACAAGATTAAACGATGGTGATTCTTATAGGATTTTTGACGTAGATTACGAATCTGTAAATGAAATTGTCCCATCACGTCTCAATTTTGAGAAAAACTGTCTCAAAGTGTCAAAAAATCGCATTTTTGGCACTTTTTGAAGCACTATAAAAAAAGAACGCGACGTGATAAACGGCTCAAATATGGCTTAAATAAGAGCTAGTACCCTCAACTTTAACCTCCAAAAGCAAAAAACCATGTACCAAGAACTCAAAATTGTGGGCAACATTTTTTTACCGCGTGCGCGTCCAGCAGATATTGTTCCCACGATAAAATGAAATAAATTGCTGAAAACGTCGTCAAAGACACAAGATCGATTTAAATTAACTTCAAACTGGTTACTCGGGGGTTTTCGGGGTCGCTGATTACGAATCTGATGTTATTTTTTAAAAATCCAATATGGCGGATCCAATATGGCGGACGATTTTTGGAATAACTTAACATATTAGTCTGAAAATCGTTACTCGGGGGTTTTCGGGGTCGCTGATTACGAATCTGATGTTAGTTTTTAAAAATCCAATATGGCGGATCCAATATGGCGGACGATTTTTGGATTAACTTAACATATTAGTCTGAAAATCGTTACTTGGGGGTTTTCGGGGTCGCTGAATAGGAATCCGATGTTAGTTTTTCAGAATCCAATATGGCGGAACTAACATGGCTTAACTATTAAATTACTACAAATTTTTTTGAAAGGAGTTATTTAATGAATAATTTAATTTTTTCTTTTTTACGCAGTTGCATGAACCTTCTTTTTACTAATCCAATATAAAAAAAACTTTATTGAGATAAAAATGTGACGTTTCGTTTATTTTGCACCATTAAGGATTTTAATTTTATTTCTTTTACATTTTCAAGGAGTTCAATTGATGAGCTCGCTGTCAGTTTGTTTCTAATTTTTTGTGGACGAAAAAAGTAGACGTTAAAAATGAAGCTTGATGTTTTCTGTTGTTTTCATTTTCACGCCGTATTAATTAAATCTGTTTGACAATATAACAAAAATTAATTAAATTTATTTTAAACCTAGTAACCATTTTTTATTAAAAAAAACTGTTTCCTCTTATAAATGACGTGGAGGCATGAAAATAATTACTAAAATTACTAAAGTCTGCGAAAATCAAGAACTATTTAAAAATTCGCTCGCCAAATTCGATTCGCTATCTTGTATTTAAAAATTTTTAAGTCAAATTCATAATTTGCAATCTCAAAACTTTTTATATACTCAATTTAATAAAAAACCATAAAATCTTTAAGCATCAGATTCGTAATCAACAACCCCGAAAACCCCCAAGTAACGATTTTCAGACTAATATGTTAAGTTATTCCAAAAATCGTCCGCCATATTGGATCCGCCATATTGGATTTTTAAAAACTAACATCAGATTCGTAATCAGCGACCCCGAAAACCCCCGAGTAACCAATTTGAAGTTAATTTAAATCGATCTTGTGTCTTTGACGACGTTTTCAGCAATTTATTTCATTTTATCGTGGGAACAATATCTGCTGGACGCGCACGCGGTAAAAAAATGTTGCCCACAATTTTGAGTTCTTGGTACATGGTTTTTTGCTTTTGGAGGTTAAAGTTGAGGGTACTAGCTCTTATTTAAGCCATATTTGAGCCGTTTATCACGTCGCGTTCTTTTTTTATAGTGCTTCAAAAAGTGCCAAAAATGCGATTTTTTGACACTTTGAGCCCGTTTTTCTCAAAATTGAGACGTGATGGGACAATTTCATTTACAGATTCGTAATCTACGTCAAAAATCCTATAAGAATCACCATCGTTTACTCTTGTGGCAAAAAAAAACCTAAATTTTGTCGACCAGTGTAATTGACAGAAAGATTTTGGCGCGATTTTTAAAATCAGCCAATAAAAAATTAAGCATAAAAATGTGAGTTTTTTACATTACATTACATTACATTTCACAAATGTGAAAAGTTTTAATGCAGTAAAAATAAGACACGTGTAGAAAACTAAATCCTTGAAATAAAATATCGATTTGTCGAAAACAGTTAAAATAATTATCATTTAACAACTTACAATATTAAAAAAATGAATAAAATTTTGCTTGATAACATCAAACGTTGAAATATTTAACGATTCAACTACTTTTCATTGCTTCATTTCTGCATTGGAGACAATTTCAAATAATTGTTTTATGTTACAAGTGGTCATTCACGGTGAGTAAAATTCTAAATAATAATTAGTATATTTTCACTATCACTTTTTTTGTACTGTTGAACTTGTATCTAATTCCAAATTTGACATCAGTTTTTCCAAATTCGAAATGGCGTATTCAATATGGCGGAAAATTTTTCAAAATTTATCGGATTTGCCTTAATTATTATACTCGGAGGTTTTCGGAATCCCTTAATTCCGAATTTGACATCAGTTTTTTGAAATTCAAAATGACGGAACCAATATGATAATTACAGAGGCACACAAAAAATAGTGTTTTTGCCGAGACACTACACTAATGTATTCCCATGTATTTTTTTGCTTCTGAATCCGAATCCGAAATCAGAATAGTCAGATTGGCTCTAGTTTTTGAGTTATACTCAAAAAACGACTCAAAAAACTAATTAAAATAAAAAAAAAATTTTATATCATTACAATAGTATATTTCTATGTATTTTTTCCCGCCGAATCTGAATTTGAAGTCAAAATTATCCGATTGGCTTAAAATTTTGAAATAAACTCAAAAATCTGCCTAAAAAAAAGAGTTAAAATCAAAAAAATCGGACAAGTGCGAGTTACACTCGCATTAAAACCGAGGATTCCGTACCCTTAAACCTAAAATTTAAGGGGATTAAAGTGTGAAGGCTCGCATTAAAACCGAAGATTCCGTACCCTTAAACCTAAAATTTAAGGGGATTAAAGTGTGAAGGCAAGTGGAAAAATTACAATTTTGCTTAATTTTTCCAATAATGTGAGCATAAAAACCAGGGATGTGTCCGGAAATGCCATTTTTGTTCTGTTCGGTGCCAGTGCCATGGAATAAAAATATCTACATATTTAGTTCCGTGCCAAGGCACGAAACAAAAATGGTTGTGTATTCAGTTCTGTGCCGAGGCACGGAACGAAAATGTATATATATTTAGTTCCGTGCCAAGGCATGGAACGAAAATAGTTGTATATTTAATTCCGTGCCAAGGTACGAAACAAAAATTTACAGGCATTTATTTTCGTGCTATAAGTACAGAATAAAATTAATTATTTAGGAATATTATTCCGTTCCAAATACGTAAACAACAATAAATGAGAACAGATAGTCGGGCCTGTTTACATTAAGTGTCCTTGCACTCAAGGATGTTATCTCTCAAATTCATTATAATATGTCCAACATTAGAAATGAAAAGAGACACGAAAATGTTTTTATTCTAAATAATATGTTCTTAGTATCTTATTATAAAAAAATCATAACACAGTTTTATGAGTTATATGCGTAATACTTTTTAATAAAATTGGAAAAATCAATTACTCGACTACAATAAAATATATCATATAAAGGGTGGTATTATTAATAAGGGGCCGTCCATAAAATAAGTTAACAATATTTTAAACTTTTTATAACCCCCGTCCCCCCTCGTTATCAATAGCGTTACTTTTTCTAAACAGTAATGTACGTTGGGAACAGTTACTTTTTTTAACGAGTATCGCGTTATCGTTACTTTTTCTATGCAGTAACATACAATTTTTACTGTAACTATTTTTAAAAAGTGACGCGTTACCGTTACTTTTTGTAAAAAGTATCGCTAATCGTTAGCAATACATTTTTTAAAAAATAATTCGTTAACATTCCTTCTTTTAATAGTAACGCGTAATCGTTACCGTTACTATTTCTAAAAATTATCGCGTTACTTTTTCTAAACAGTAATGTGCTATGGGAACAGTTACTTTTTTTTAACGAGTAACGCGTTACCGTTACTTTTTATATGCCGTAACATACAATCTTTACTGCCTTCAATGAATGGAGAAGATAAAAAATATTTTCTACCTATTTTCTCATAATTAGAGGTGCAAAATTTTTATTTTATGAAATTGAAAATTTCATTTTGAAAAATTCTAGACCGCCCAACAGTTTGGAAATGTTTGATTTAGCCCACTTAACAAATCATATAGATAAAATTGTTGAAATTGAGTTAACGTGGAAGGAATTAAGTCATCACACACAAATGGAGCACGAAAGAAGTGCCAATTTGATAATTAAAAAAAAATGGAGGATTTATTAAATGGTGTTATAGGTGAGTCGGCATTACTGCAATTCCGCATGAAAGAGACTTTTTAGATTTATATGTGACCGCGTCTAAAAGAAGGGTACTTATGACCATTGTCATAAGACGCCATCGTTTAGATGTAGTCACATATGAGACATTCTTCCTCAATTGTTCTACCATAAAATTCTAAATTTATGAATTGGTTGTTAACTTTGGTAAATTGTTGCCTTGTATTAAAAAAAAATTCGAAGAATATTAAACTTTTTGAAAAAAATGTTTCAAACATTTTTTTTCCAAAAGTAACATTTTCAGAATTTGTTACTTTCATACAGGGCAACAATTTACTAAAGGTAAAAGCCAGTTCAAAAACTTGGAACTTTATGATGGGACGATTGGGAAGAATGCCTTATATATGGTGAGAAAGGTATATAAATAAACATTGAAGTTTTAATTACAGATGCAGATAACGATTATTATCTTCCGCCGGACGAAAGTTCTGAGGAAAGTTCTTGAAGAAATAAACAATAAATGAACTAATCACTAAAAATTATAATTTATTTCTTCAACTTATGGTTTTTTTAAAAAATAAATTAAATTTTTTTTTGATTTAAATTTTTGGAATCAAAAGAATAAATAAAAATTTAATTGCATAAGATACTTGTACTTACTTAATTACTTAGTAGTTTACTTAGTATAAAAATGAATGATTAAGAGAGTGAGTAATTGAGTGAGAATTTAAGTAATTGACTCTCTGACTTTCTGTGTGACTAAATGTGTGACTGAGATTATATAACTGAGTGCGTGACTAATTATATGACTGGTATGTGATTAACTGCGTGACTGAATGTGTGACTGTGTGAGTCTGAGTGTGTGACTAAGTGTGTAACTAAGTGTGTAACTAAGTGTGTAACTAAGTGTGTAACTAAGTGTGTAACTAAGTGTGTAACTAAGTGTGTAACTAAGTGTGTAACTAAGTGTGTAACTAAGTGTGTAACTAAGTGTGTAACTAAGTGTGTAACTAAGTGTGTAACTAAGTGTGTAACTAAGTGTGTAACTAAGTGTGTAACTAAGTGTGTAACTAAGTGTGTAACTAAGTGTGTAACTAAGTGTGTAACTAAGTGTGTAACTAAGTGTGTAACTAAGTGTGTAACTAAGTGTGTAACTAAGTGTGTAACTAAGTGTGTAACTAAGTGTGTAACTAAGTGTGTAACTAAGTGTGTAACTAAGTGTGTAACTAAGTGTGTAACTAAGTGTGTAACTGAGTGTGTGACTAATTGTATGACTGTGAGTATGTGATTAACTGCCAGACTGAATGTGTGACTCTGAGTGTGTGACTAACTGTGTGACTATGTGTGTAACTGAGTGTGTGACTAATTGTATTACTGAGTATGTGACTAACTGCGTGACTGAATGTGTGACTGTGAGTCTAAGTGTGTGACTAACTGCGTGACTAAGTGTGTGACTAAGTGTGTAACTGAGTGTGTGACTAATTGTATGACTGAGTATGAGATTAACTGCGCGACTGTGTGAGTCTGAGTGTGCGAAATAATTTAATTACCTTTCTTATTTATAAATTTAATATAATAATACAAGTACAATAGAATTTTCAATAGAAAATTTTGAGAAAAAGTTTACTTTTATCAATAACAATTGTTTTAATAATAAAATCATTAAAAAATTTTAAGCATGTCTAAAATTAATTAGTAATTAATTATTAATTTTATTATACAGTTATTACTAATTAAACATATTAAATAAATTTAAAAATAATAAATGATAAATTAAAAAATTTGATAAAACAAAATTTAAAAAATGTTAACAATAACCGCAAAATTTATTGATATCTTAAAAAAATGAACTGTTAGGTGAAATAAGAAAAAAAAACTATTTGGTGTTTTCACAGAATTTTCTGCTAATAAATTTAATTCCGACATAATTAAAACATTTGCAGTCGACACGAAGTAAAACGGGGGTGAAACAAATACAGTGTTGCCAAGCGTTGCATTAGCACTTCGTGATTCAAATAAAAAAATTAAATGGACATTGTTTTGACTTGCAATGTAAAAGGGGTACCTCCTTAATTAATTTTTTTATTTTAATCAAAAGTTTTAATTTAAAAAAAAAAAATTTCAAATTTTAAAAATTTTAAATAAAATAAAAATTTAGATTAAAATATCTAAATTTTTATTTTATTCAAAATTTTTTTTTCAGCACATTTTTTAATTTTTCATTTTAAATTTCATCGGAAACAATTGACATTGCCTCCGTACTACTGCAAGATGTCGTTGCTTGTATAGGAACTTCGGATACCTTTTGCTTTTTTGAATTTTTTTGATTGATTTTTTTCTTTTGTTTATCAATAAAAATTTGATTCGTTCTGAGGACAAGTATGTCCTCTAGTATATCATGACTCAGGTTAGCGCGCAATGTGGAGAAGATAAATCTCATACCGGAGAACAATCGTTCAGCGCTAACCTGTGTCATTGGAACTGTGTTGACAATGGTTGAAATTTTAAATAATTCAGGGGACATTTGTTTGCGATGTTCCCAGTAAGTAAGAATGTTTTCCTTCCTTGAGATGCAGGGAACCTTTCCGAAATCATCTAATAATTTATCGATCGATGTTTCCTCATTAAATCGACTTTGTCGCTGAGCGTCTATTTTTTTCTCTCTATCTCGAGAAGGTCGTCGCATTCTTCTTCCATTAATTCGGAATTATTCCTATCCTGAATATAAAAAAAGAATGAAGATTATAATGTAATTAATATTTTTTTTAATTATTCCTGAAGTGATCCAATAGCCAAAACGTGAAAATTACATTTTTTGAAAAATAATAACTATTTAATAATAGGATAAAAGTTTTATTGACCTATATAATTTACTGCTTTTTTGAATAATGTAAATTTTATTTAAAAAATTGAAATTTAACTCGTTTTTGAAAATCAAAAATTATTTTTGATTCTTGATAACAAATGACCATTTTTAGTTAATTTTTACCCCTTAAGGAGTATGCTGTTAATTAAAAAATGAAATAAAATACCGCTTTTCTGTTTAAGAGATTTTAAATAATTAATTAATTAGTAATAATAAGTTAATTAATTATTTCAGATCTCTAAAACAAAAAAAAGACATTTTATTTAATTTGTTTATTAATAGCATATACTTTAAGGGGTACCAAATAAATAAAAAAACTCCTTAATTAAGAAAATCAAAGATATTTTTTATTTAATGATAAGCTTTTTGCAAGCCCGATCTTAATTTTTTTTTAATTGGATCAATGCAGGAATTTTGCTTCATACTTATATAATTCTCACCATGTCCTCGTCAAGTGTTTCAATTGAAATCGAAGAAGATACGCTCTCATCATTATTAGAAATCTTATTCCACACTTTCTTCAAAACTTGCTTTGCAATTTTACAATTCTCCTCTGATAGAAAAGGTAAATATTTTGCATCCAAGTACATGAATGCAAGTAATGCCTTATTCCCGAGGAGAATTTTTTCTCTTCGCTTTATTGCTTTAGCAAGATTTGAAGAGAGTGTGGTTTTCACCATTTCTGTCCGCAATTTGCATTTCCTCCAGATTCCAAAAAAATCACCTGGTAAAAGGTTTTCCTTTTAGAGACTGAGGGTTGCACTTTTACAAGGTTTTAATGCGGATAATAGATCTTCAATTTGTGACCATCTTGAGTCAGAAAGATGCAATTGAGGTCTAGTACCCGCAAAATCCTTGCAAAATTCTTTTGCAGCCAATAAAGATGAGAGCATATCAGCTGTCGAGTTCCATCGTGTAACAACATCTATACACGGTTTGTTAAGATTGTACAATCTAAGTTGCTTCACACAGGTATCCGTCCTTGAATGTTTGACAACCCTCCGCGCCTAGAATGTAAAATAAAAATTATAAAATATTTTACACATACAATATTACCTAAACTATGTTACTAATAGAAATTGAAGGAGTGATTGAGAGACGGATTGAGAGATTGAGTGTGTGATTGATAGATTGAGTGTGTGTTTAAGTTATTGAGTGAGTGATTGATTAAGTGATTGATTGAGTGAGTGATTGCGAGTATGAGTGATTGATTGATTGACAGATTAAGTGATTGTGTGAGTGATTGCGAGTATGAGTGAGTGATTGATTGAGTAATTGATTGAGTGGTTGATTAAGTGATTGATTAAGTGAGTGATTGCAATCACTAACCTCTAAAGTTCAATTTTACACACCGAAAAGTGTGTGTAAAAAAGCTCTTTTTCAAACGGTGTGTAAAGTAAAAAATAGGAAAATAAAATTGTTTATTTGCTTTCATAATTTTGCAATATTTCATACATTTCTTGAAAAATAAATTTTTTAAAGTGAAAAAAGAATTTTGCTTCCATACTTTTGCACTAATTTTTTTATTAACATCAGTTACGAAAAAAATAAAACTCAAAAATAAAATTGACTTTCTCAGGGTTATATATTTCATAATTTGTATATTTTCTTGATAGTATTTGGTTACGATACACCCTGCATATTTATTTTCTTTTAATTAAATTTCTCGGAAATCTGATAAAATATCTGTAGACTGTCAAGGAGTTGATCAACCATTTTTATTGTATGCGACTTATCTATTTTATTTATTTACTATATATATATGGGACGTTTCACGTCAACCGGCCCAGAGCTCCATCCAAAATTCTAATCAACGAAAATCAACTTATTACGGCTCAAAATAATCGTCAGCTGAAACTGCTTCGAATAAAAATTGGCGAATTAAAAAATTCAAAATGGCGTCCTTACTGTACCACATTTTGCAAATTTTTTTACTAACTCAGCAAACAAATGTATTAAATACCTTGAGAAAATAATTGCAACTTGTTGGATAATGGGTCACTCTTATCTTTAGGGTCGATGATTACGAATCTGAAGTCAGATTTTAAAAATTTTCAAAATTCAAGATGGCGGATCCAATATGGCGGACATTTTTATTAAAATTTGATCAGATTCGCTTGAAACTTGCTACTCGGGAGTTTTTGGGGTCGCTGATTACAAATATAAAGTCAGATTTTAAAAATTCAAAGTGGCGGATCCAATATGGCTACCAAAATTTTTTAAAAATTATCAGATTTGCTTGAAACTTGTTACTCGGGGGTTTTTGAAGTCGCCGATTACGAATCTAAAGTCATATTTTAAAAATTTTCAAAATTCAAAATGGCGGATCCAATATGTCGACCATTTTTTTTTAAAAATAATTAGATTTGCTTGAAACTTGTTACTCGGGGATTTTTGGAGTCGCTCATTACGAATCTAAAGTCAAATTTTAAAAACGTTCAAAATTTAAAATGGTGAATTCAATATGGCGACCAAAAATTTTTTAAAAATTATCAGATTTGCTTGAAAAAAAAAAAATTTTTTGTCGCCATATTGGATCCACCATTTTGAATTTTGAACAGTTTTAAAATCTGACTTTAGATTCGTAATGAGCGACTCCAAAAACCCCCGAGTAACAAGTTTCAAGCAAATCTGATAATTTTTAAAAAATTTTGGTAGCCATATTGGATCCGCCACTTTGAATTTTTAAAATCTGACTTTATATTTGTAATCAGCGACCCCAAAAACTCCCGAGTAGCAAGTTTCAAGCGAATCTGATCAAATTTTAATAAAAATGTCCGCCATATTGGATCCGCCATCTTGAATTTTGAAAATTTTTAAAATCTGACTTCAGATTCGTAATCATCGACCCTAAAGATAAGAGTGACCCATTATCCAACAAGTTGCAATTATTTTCTCAAGGTATTTAATACATTTGTTTGCTGAGTTAGTAAAAAAATTTGCAAAATGTGGTACAGTAAGGACGCCATTTTGAATTTTTTAATTCGCTACTTTTTATTCGAAGCAGTTTGAGCTGACGATTATTTTGAGCCGTAATAAGTTGATTTTCGTTGATTAGAATTTTGGATGGAGCTCTGGGCCGGTTGACGTGAAACGTCCCATATATATAAAACTTTCAATTCCTATGAAATCTTTTATATAATATATAATATACGAGGGGGAATTTACTAGTTAAAAACGTGTACACTTGACTACCGGTATTACACCTCATATTACCCTTATTACTAAGTTATTACACGTTATTACAGAGTATTACACATTATTACAGAGATATTACAGATTTTTTTGCGTTATTATAGCACCATAATAACGCATTATTACACGGTATTACACGTTATTACACCAGTATTACAGGAAGAGTGTACACTTGACTACCTGAGTAAATTCCCCCTCGATATAATATAATAAAATATGAATTTAAGAATTTACATTTGATATATATTTCATCATTATAATGTTTATATTTTTTTCATTCTTTTAATGTGAAAAATTTCTTTATCAAACGATTGCAAATTTAATGCAAAAATATGTGAGCAAAAAACATTTTTCGTACATTTTTTTACTTTAAAAAATTAATTTTTTAAAGGATTTCAAAATTTTTGCAAAGTATGGGAGAAAAAAATTTTTTTTTCACATAATAATATTGCAAAATGTACTCGAAAATGTATTTTTAAAAGGTTTGCAAAATTTATTTTGCTATCCTTTGAGAAAGAAAGATTTTTTTATGCTCACACTTTTTAATACTTTATTACTTTTGCAATATTTTTAAAAATAAATTTTTGAAAATAAAAATGGGAAAATAAAATTGTTTATTTGCTTTCATACTTTTGCAATATTTCAGAAATTTCTTGAAAAATAAATTTTTCAAAGTGAAAAAAGAATTTTGCTTCCATTCATTTGCAATACTTTTGCAATTTTTTGAAAAATAAATTTTTCAAAGTCGAAAAGTCAATAAAAAATTATTTTTTTGTTTCCATACTTTTGTAATCCTTTGAAAAAAATATTTTTTAAATTTAAAAAAGATGAAAAAAATTCTTGAAATTCTTTTATGAAAATTCATACTTTTCAAGATATTTGGAATTTCCCATACGTTTTGAACACCCGTAAATAAATTTCTATGGAATTTATTATCACATTACGATAAAGGTATAAAGTGAAAGAGAAAATTTCTTTTAAACCGAATTCTGAAAAATCAATCCTTATATCAAATTCCATTTAATTTACTTTAATGATTTCAAGAAATGATACAGGGTTGCCAAAAGTCATAGAAATCAGGTAATTCAAGAAAGTGCTATGCTAAAAGACAGAAAAATTTTTGTGACAATAGTGCAATAGACCAAATGAGGAAAATTTGATCAGTGTACAATTAGCTGAGGTGCAAACCACGCGATCTAATTTTACGATTCTCGAACTTTCATTCATTTTTATATTTAAATACATTGTTATTGTTAATTGTTATTACTATTGTTAATTGTTATTACCATTGTTAATTGTTATTACTATTGTTAATTGTTATTACCATTGTTAATTGTTATTACTATTGTTAATTGTTATTACCATTGTTAATTGTTATTATTATTGTTATTAAATTGTTTATTTAATTATAATATTTTTTTTAAATAATTTTTTTTTATAATTAATATCATTTTTTTTAAATGTCGGGTGTTCCTCGTGGTCGTCCACCAAAAGCCGCAGCTGGTAAATTTTTTAATTATGACCACGAAAAGGAAGAATCAGCGTGTAAAATAAATTCGTGTAAAGCTATATTCCAAATAAGTAATAAAAAAATTTACAATTTTTTTAAATCTATAATTTCATATAAACATATATAGACGATTTCACGTGAGATTTCCGCAGACCCTTTAAATTCGGCCAAATATATTTTTTTCTTATTCTGTAGTGAAAAAAAAGAGATATGTATTTTTTTCCGAAAAACTTTTGAGTTATGAATTTTCAAAATTTCAGTTTTTTCATTGGAGACCTATTTTTAATGGCTGCTGACTCAAAAAAATAGATTTTTTCAATTTTTGCTAACAGAAAAAAAAACAAAAAAAATAACAATTTTTGTAAACAAATTAAGTTTTTTTAAATTTGGATATGATATTTTTTTAATCTTTTTTTTAAACATACCTGGAAATACTAAGAAAATTTTGAAAAAATATTTAGAGGGGGCCGATAAGTTTTATAGGTTTAAGTGAATATTTAAACACCGCGCGCAGCATTTTGCGCATTTTAAAAAAATTTTAAAAATTGTTAAAAATTTTTTTTTCTATTTTTTATAGTGAAATATGATTTCACTTTGAAAAATACATTTTCGAGTAAATTTTGCAATATTATTATGTGAAAAAAAAATATTTTTTTCTCCCATACTTTACAAAAATTTTGAAATCCTTTAAAAAATTCATTTTTTAAAGTAAAAAAATGTACGAAAAATGTTTTTTGCTCACATATTTTTGCATTAATTTTGCAATCGTTTGATAAAGAAATTTTTCACATTAAAAGAATGAAAAAAATATAGATATTATAATGATGAAATATATGTCAAATGTAAATTCTTAAATTCATATTATATTAAATATTGGGTGTTCCAAAAGTATGGAAACTTGCAAATATCTCGAAAAGTACGAATTTTTGTAAAAAATGTTTAAGACAAAAGTTGTTCCAAACAAAAAGATGTACATCTTTGATACCAAAAAATTGGGCCAAGAGCCCAATGTTGGGCCCTACAATGAAAAAAGTAGTTTTCTTGAATGAGACCACTAATTTTCAGTATCAAATTCGTAATCCCCATGAAATTCTGCGTTTAGACATGTGGTATAAGTGCCCAAAATATTGGTCCCAATCCAAGATATTGGGTCCAAAATTTTGTCAACAGATAAATAAATTTTAAAAAATCGCATCTTGGAGGGATTTTGAGATCACAGGATTAGAAATTAGAAGCTATTTACACCAACTGACCCTAATAAATTATTTTCTTAATAAATAATTTAATTAAAGGATTTTGTAT